AGAGAAAAACAAGAAGAAACTGCCCTCTCACCTCCTCCCTACTTCCCTGGCACCACACAGAGCAGAGCAAGTGGACCAGGGATGGCAGAGCTCCTACCCTCTTCTCTCATCCCCGGGACGTCTTCCCTAACCTCCTGGCACTGGATCCCGCGCCAGCTTTTAATCCTCCAGCCTTAGTGAGTCATCCGCGAGACAGCACACATTTGATCAGCTCTCAGACAGGAGATCCTCAGAGATGAGCCAGGGGAGCATCACAGGGGTGAATTCTAAACGGCTGCTTCGGGGGCAGTGGACCTGAAACCTCATAACCACTTCATACTATTGTTATGTTCAAAATCCAAGTTCACCCAATAAAAATGTGAGAGTCCTTCCTGTCGCACTCAAACACGAGGTTAGTCACCTCCCCTGTGACTTCCTCCTGACACTCTAACCTGCCCCGTCCTTTGTGTCTGAAGTTGCTGCCACTCCTGGCAAAGGTGGCAGGGTGTGTCTGCCAGGAGACGCGCGCTGGCCCATCGAGAGAGACGAGGGCTCCCAGCGGATATGCACTTGATGCCAGAGAGAGGCAGGGCCGAGCTGGCTGCTCTCGAGGGGCTCAGCATCCCTCTCGGCCCGATGCGTCGCTCCTGTGTCTGTTCTGATGTCCAAGCCTGCTGGGTGCACCGTGTCCACAGGCCACTGTGTGCACGGCATTCTATGCTGCCTGTGTAAGCACCTTCCTGCGTGCGGCTGGTCCCCCACGTTACCCTGAGTGCTCGCTCCGACTCAGCTGGGCTGCCTGCTGCCCCAGGACACGCTGTGCTAAGTGACTTCGTGTTCCTACCATCCAGTGAAAGGAAAGAAGGAAAAGAGAAAGGTCAGACAGGAAGGAAGAAAGAGAGAAAGGGGAGGCAGCAGGAAGGAAGGATAATAGCAGCGTGTATTTATAGAATGACGCTACACCAGGTCGTGTGCACTTTCTTATTTAATCCTCCAACTACTCGGTGAGGTAGATACTATTATTAATTTTTCCTAGCTTACAGATGAGGAAACATCCTTCCGAGGGTTGGGTAACACGCCCGGTGGAACAAGCCACAGCCACTGAATCGGGGAGGCGGTTTGTGAACAAGATTTGTTTAACTGAGTTCCCATCTCCGACACCAGACTGTCCAGCTGTATTCCCATCTCTGTGGCTAGACTGTCGTGCTGAGTAGAGTTTTGAGCACAGAGGAGCAGATAACGGGGAACCAGGACGTGACTCTAAAGAAAGAAAAAAGGAGAGTAGGAGAGAAGGCAGAAGAGAGCACGGATGAAAGGGGAGATCTACAAACACAGATCTCACACCGGACCTGCGAGTGTGGTTTCTGCTTCATTCCTCGACATCTCCAGAAAGGAAGTATGTGCTTCCCGGTGATGTGTTCCAGGTTTCATTCTCCAAGTGCCAAAGGCATCCACAGAGAGCCCGTTCTGCCCGCCTGCCTGTGAGAGAAGACAGGCAGACAGCTGACTCTGGGTCTGTACCCCAAGTTAGCAAGTCCTGAACCACTGCTCGGGGAGGCGGGGTGGGAAATACAAGGCTCTCATGACATTCTTACCAGCCAGTCAATACATAACCTTTCTTATGTTCATTTCTGTTTAAAGACACCTGATTTTAATAGATTGCTGACTCATTAACATTGAACTCAGGACAAGCAGCACCATAACTCATGCCTGGGCAGAGCTTGTACAAAGACCTGTATTTCCCCATAAGGCACATCACAGCCTCCTAGCACTGAGGAATCCTAGACGATCCTTCAGCGCGACACTTGGGGGTGTATTTTATTCTGTAAAATCGTCAACAAAACTGTCACAAATGTGGCAGGAAATAGACTGTGAAAAGGACACTTGGTTATGTCGGTGGAGCTGAAATCAGAAGGCAGAGGGTCACCCTGCTCTTCTCAGCGGGGAGTGTGCTCATCTGCTGGCTCGGTTTTCCACTGTTCTGCATGTGTGTGTGTGCATATGATGCCCAAAGTGGTGCCAAGGTCCCCCATTTCATCCTGAGGGTCAGTTACATCCAAGCAACTTGGAATTGATGAGGCTATTGCTTTTGCTCAGTGGCTAAGTTGTGTCTGACTCTTAGCAACGTCATGAACTACAGCACACCAGGCTTCCCTGTCCTTCACCATCTCCTGGAGTTTCCTCAAACTCATGTCCATTGAGTTGGCGATGCCATCCAACCATCTCATCTTTTGTCAGCCCCTTCTTCTCTGGGCCTCAATCTTTCCCAGCATCAGGGTCTTTTCCAGTGAGTTGGCTTTTCGAATCACATGGCTGAAGTATCAGAGCTTCAGCTTCAGCGTTGGTCCTTCCAATGAATATTCAAGGCTGATTTCCTTTAGAATTGACTAGTTTGATTTCCTTGCTGTTCAACAGACTCAAAGTCTTTCCAGAACCACAATTTGAAAGCGTCAATTCTATGGCACTCAACCTTCTTTATGGCAGATGCTTACTTACTTTTGGGGTTACAAATAAATGTTAGCAAGTAGGAGAAGCTGCAAATATAGAGGCCACGATGAATGAAGGAAGATTCATTGCAGGTAGTATTAAGTTCGACCAGTTCTCAGACTTGGACATTCCAGGAACTTGGCCCTCCTCTGGGAAAACAGGAAAGGAACAGAGACCTTGGGTGTATGACAGTAACTGCAGCTGTATATATGAGGACATCACATACTTGTCCGGCAGGGACCCTCAGAGGCCAGCCATCCATGTTGAGGCTTTAGCTGGGATTCTGTTCTGGTCATTAGAGATGGTCAGCAGCGCAGATCCTAGAAAAGCCTACCAAGTCTTCTCACTTGAATCAAGTAGCTCCTCAAATCCATCGTCCTTGTATAGTTTCTGGAGGCTGGATTTTGCTCAGCTCTGTGCCTGTGTGTGTAGAAGAAACTCGGCAAACACGGGCTGTGAACTGAATGAGGCTCCGCTGGATCTGCCCCCCACATTATCTTATCCTGCCCCTTCCTTTGTAAAGTACCCTTGAGGAAATATTTCTAAGTTTGAGGTTCCTCGAATTGGTCGTCCTTAAAGGTGTCTTAATGATGTCATTGAGCTACTGAAAAAAAATCTTTCCCAAGATACATTTCACCAGGACGAGACTTCACAGGTGAACAGAAAATGGCAAGGATTTGTTTCTGATTTTGTGAACCTGCCAGGAATGACAGGGAGCATGGTATGCCCTGATACTGCATACCGCTTGCTGATACTCATTCACTTTCACCTAAATGGGAAAACTCAATCCTGAGGGAAATCAACCCTGAATGTTCATTTGAAGGACCGATGATGAAGCTGAAGCTCCAATACTTTGGCCACCTATGATGAAGAGCTGACTCACTGGAAGACTCTTAAGCTGGGAAAGATTGAGGGCAGGAGGAGAAGGGGATGAGAGAGGATGAGACAGTTGGATGGCATCATTGACTCAATGCATGTGAGTTTGAACACACTCCGCGAGATAATGAAGGACAGGGAAGCCTGGCTGCAGTCCATGGGGTTGCAAAGAGTTGGACACGACAGAGCAAATGAAGAACAGCAACAGAAGAGATATTCTTCACCTAGAAACTGAACAACAGGCCCAAGGAGCCACCCTTTCCGCTCTGCTTGTTCTTTCAGCAAAGCTCGGCTGATTCTTCCGAGGGCCTCTGAAACAGGCCTCTTTCCGTGAATCCATCTCTTTGTGGAACATTTTTTTTCCTCCTCGTGAGACTCAGCCAGGATCCAACAGAAGTGACACAGATGGCGTGTGCTTTGCCAGGAGATCAGCTCAGCCAGCACCCAGGCAACCTAAGCTGTTTCCCTTCAAATTCCTCTTCATGCCTCTCTCCGACTCGGGTCACACTGCCATGCTGTGAAACAGCTGGGGCCACCCTTCCCTGCTGCAGCGAGGTTACCGCCTTGCTGGGTTTTGAGTATGTGCGTGGGGGCAGGGGAGGAGAGGGCAGGGGGGACCGGAGACTTCAGGCTCAGCGCCCGCCTCGTCTCCAGAGCATGCTTTTAAAGCCTTGAGGACCTCATCATCTGTCTTCGGGATCCTTAACTGTTTGTACCAATTGAGAACTCGATGCTCACCGAGATGGTCTTTGCCACCGCCCCACAGTCTGCACTGAGGCCCCCGGGTCTGCACAATATCCCTGAAAAGCCTTTGCAGTCAGTTTGTTTCTCCCAGCTTCCGCTGGTGTTGCACCGTCTCCCTTCACTCCACCCCTGCTCCCGTCTGGACTGCATACGGTGGGCGCTCTTCCTCGTCTCAGCCTGCCAAGCAGCCTCCTTCTCATTCATGGAGTGTCTGAAACCACTCCCATCCAAGAAGCCTTCAGGAACATGGGGGGTACAATCTTAATCTCATCCTTCTCGCTCCAAGCACACCACCACGGACTTCGTCATCTACGGCTGCACTAAAATCTGTACCATTTGGTACTTTTAACTACACACTTGCTACCAGCTTAGTGTTTGGTGTGTGTTTATGAGAATGGAACTCTGCTCAATGTGATGTGGCAGCCTGGATGGGAGGGGAATTTGGGGGAGAATGGATACATGTCTTATGTATGGCTGAGTCACTCTGCTATCCACCTGAAATTACCACAACATTGCTAATCCGCTATACCCCAATATAAACTATAAAGTTAAAAACAAAATGGTATGTAGCATCATTGCTGGATCTTTCCAATCTTGGCTGTTGTCTAGTTGCTAAGTCGTGTCTGACTCTTTGCGACCTTGTGGATTGTATGGACTGCAGCCCACCATAGAAGCTTGCATCTGCTAATCCCAAACACTTAATTTATTGAATAGGCACAAATTGTAACATTTTTTTTTGGATGCAGACCATTTTTACAGTCTTTATTGAATCTGCTACAATATTGCTTGTTTTATGTCTTGGTTTTAGTCACAAGGCAAGTGGGATCTTCGCTCCTGACCAGGGATCGAACCTGTACGCCTTACACTGGAAGGTGAAGTCTTAACCACTGGACCCCCAGAGAAGTCCTGGCATGAATGTTAACGCCTTTTATTGATCCCACTACACCCACCTCCAATTTGAGCTGACACAGTATGAACCCCAGCAGTCTCTGACCCTGTACCAGTACATTCCACTTTCTACCTACCTTGTTTTGTGTTAGAATCAGTCGCAATGGTAGCATTTGTGCTTAGAAGACAATCTCTTGCTCCAAGGGCAGAACATCTCTTGGTGGGACCACCGGGCTCTTTGGAAAAGGGTTTGTAAAGTGATAGTGAGCTGTGGACCCAGCCTGGAATGGTGTTCTCCTTGGGGCTGTTATTGGACAGTTGCTGCCTTGAGTAGGTCAAGACACTTTCTGTGTTATGAGAAAGCACTGTCTCTGCCAAACATCTTTCTGTAAGTGATTATGTGCAGGCAAACCAATAAGAGTGCTTTTTGTTTCTTGCAGCTTCCCAGATGGCGTTGGTGGTAAAGAACCGTCTGCCGATGCAGGAGATGTAAGAGACGCATGTTCAGTCCCTGGGTGGGGAAGATTCCCTGGAGGAGGGCATGGGAACCCACTCCAGTATTCTTGCCTGGAGTGTTCTAGCCTGTCAGGTTCTGCTGTCCATGGGATCACAAAGAGTAAGACATGACTCAGTGACTCACTGATAAGCCTTGTACCTGGGTAGGATTCAAACTTTTGGAAAAGTCAAGTATTTCCATGAAATTGTAGTGAATAATCTCCTACATCAAATGCCCATGTGTGAAACAGAGAAAGTTTGAACCCACCAATATTCACAGATAGAACAACGGGGAAACAGTAGGGAAAAAAAAAAACAAGACCTTTTTTTCCCCATGAACAGGGCTTAAGAATGAATGTATAAGTAAGGGGCTGATCACCAGTCTGTACAAATCTGGGTTTTTGGAATGTTTCGCAGACGTTTATCATGACTGGATCTGTGCCTTGGGTGACAAGTTCTCTTTCTGGGCATCTTCTGCTTGACAGGATCCCAGCATCTTCTTCAGCATGTTGGTCTGTGGGGGCTCAGTGCTTGGAGGTCAAGGTCAGTGTCGATGACACCCGGAAGATCTGGGGAAGCATGTTACTAAGTTGGTAAAACATCTCTTCAGAAATACTCTGTAAGAGGTAACAAAGAAAGAAGAGTTTGCATTTGTTAAACTATCAGTGATTTTTAAAAAATGTTTTTAAGCATCTTAAAACATGGAAGTAATGCAAGTCCTTTAAGTCCTGGACATAAAGTGGAATGTGAGAACCTCATCTTTGGAAACTGATTCAACTGCATAGCTCTGGGTAGGGACATTTCCGTGGCCCCAGTGTCTGAGAACCCACGCTGTGTCTGTCAAGCAGTAAGCCTGATAACTAGAAAAAGCCCTCAATACTACTAGTGTAATCAGAGATGAAAGTACCACTCATTGTGCTGAATTCTACACAGAAGACAGAATCGTTTCCTGCTCATGTCTGCCTTTACAAACTCTTTAGACTCTATAGAACATAAATGTGGGGAAAAAAAGGAAAGAGGAGCCAAGTTTGGCTTTGTGTTAATCAAAGAACCCTCGAGTGGTAGACGCTAACATCTTTGACGGTAAATGGAGTGCCTTGATGGCTCCGAACACTTCTCCCCCTAAAACACAGAAAGCTGTGAGCATTTTGTTATGCAGTAATGAGTTGAGGGCGGGGCTTCCCAGGTGGCTCAGTGGTAAAGAATACACCTGCCAACGCAGGAGACAGATGCGGGTTCGGTCCCCGAGTTGGGAAGATCCCTTGGAATGGATACCCACTCCAGTATTCTTGCCTGCAGTGTCCCATGGACAGAGGAGCCTGGCGGGCTGGAGTCCATGGCGTCGTGAATAGTCGGACATGACTGAGAGGTTAAACAACAATCACAACACTGTGTGCAGGGCAGTGTGCCTAGCCACGTCTGTGAGGAATGCTATGCAGAGCTGGACTGGGGTGAGATCCACCCGGTAACACACCTGTGGCACCAGAAATTGCACTGTCCTAGAAATCCCTCCGTCCCACGAGGCCATTTCCATCATGAAACCTGGAACAGAGCAACAAACGCGGCTGAATGATGAGTTCTGGTCTTCAAGCCTACCTGTCCTTTATGAAAGTAAACTGGATGTTTACGGTCAGGCTACCTGTCTTCACGTTTTAGGTACCCACTTCCCCGTGGGAGAGGCTAAGCCCGACGGCCAGATACACTTCTGTAATCCTTAATTCTCCACACCAGCACGGTTTCACATAGTGCTGTCAAAACACTTGGAATGATCATTTCTTGAGTTCTATTTTGTCTCCACACAACAAAGCCAAAACAGGTCATTAAAGATTCCTTAAACATGTGGTTCTATCTTCTTTTCGGGAAAATGAAAGATAGCTGAGAGTAAGTTCTANAAGCCAAAACAGGTCATTAAAGATTCCTTAAACATGTGGTTCTATCTTCTTTTCGGGAAAATGAAAGATAGCTGAGAGTAAGTTCTATCAATGTTCAAATATCGCTGCATTTCAAGAGGGTTGGAAATGTCCCTGGAGGCCTAATGGTTAGGACTGGGTGCTTTTCACTGCTGCAGCCCAGGTTCAAGCCTTGGTCGGGGAATTGAGATCTTACAAACTGCACAGCATGACCTGAAACAAAGACGAGGGCTAGAGATTTTATTTTGTGATTGGAAAAGGTTAAAAAGCCCATTATGAAGGATTTGCTCATTAAACCATTTAACTGGGGCACCAGATGACCAAAGGAATGGCCACATTCTTTCACCCGGCTTGCTTGACTGTCAAGATTTTCGAGGGAGAAATACAGGTCCTTGTTGTTAAATACAAGGTTGGATCTTACCTTTGACGCACTTGAACACCAGTTCCGCTCTCCTTAAGCACCAGGGTATAGTCATTTCCTAAAACACAAACAAAGCAAATCATGCTTTTGACAGAACTTGGTAGGGAAAAAACACCTAACTAATCTGTGCTTTTCAGTGAATATGACGGTCACCCCTGTGGAGGGAACAGTGGAGAGAATGCGGGTTAAGTGGCTGGACGAGAGCCTGGGGTGGCTCCGGGGTGCTGGCTGGTGACGTTCTGCTTCGTCACCTGGGCACTGGTGATATTGGTGGTCAGCTGGGGAACGTGCAAGCTGTGTGTTTCGGTGTGCTTTTCCCAGGGTGTATTATATGCTAACAAAGGTTAAAAGGGCTCCCGGGCAGCTCAGTGGTGAAGAATCCACCTGCCAATGCAGGATACGTGGGTTTTTGATCCTTGGGTTGGGAAGATCCCCTGGAGAAAGAAATGGCAACCCACTCCAGTATTCTTGCCTGGAAAACCCCATGGACAGAGGAGCCTGGTGGGCTAGAGTACAGGGGGTCACAAAAGAATCAGACGTGGCTGAGCGACTAACCAACAGAAAGGTTAAAAACAACAACATCTGTGTCGACCACGACCATCACAACTAAAACCCGCTGAGTCCCAAACAAGTCAAGTTCACAGCACAAACAAGAGGAAAAGTCAGGAACTTGGGGTTTGTGACCTGCAGGTTCACTCCCTATCTGTCAGGTTAGACTGATTCCAGGATGACACTGTCTTCAGAGCATGAAGATCTACAGGGATAGAACTGGTAAGAGCAGGATATCTTCCTTTTGGCCAATGGATTATTTAAAAAAAAAACTGCAATTCAGGGAGGTGGGAGGGGGGTTCAGGATGGGGAGCAGATGTATACCCGTGGCTGATTCATGTCAATGTATGGCAAAACCATTACAATACTGTGAAGTAATTAGCCTCCAATTAAAATGAATAAAGTTATAAAAAAATTAATAAAAATTGCAATTCATTTTATCAACCCCAGGACAGGACCATTGCCAACAGTGGTGTCAGCTCACACGCACTGCAGTGTGGGCACTGAGTGTGTGGCAAGTCTGTCTGTTACATGAAGAAAACAAGAGACGAAATGCAGTGGGACCCTTGTGTGAAAGCTAAGACAAACACCGCCTCTTTATCCTGGGCAGTGTCGTCTGAGTTTGCAGGACAGACTCTGTGACCTGAATGGATGTTTAAATACGACCGATGGGAGGAGCGTGGCTTGATTTACTCTTGTGAATTAAAATGGGACTCTGGATGCAGACTTAATGTTCTGCAGCTGGCTGTCCCGATTTAAAACATGTAACTTCTGTGACACTGTGGGAGAAGGCACGCTGCTAGTGTCAGATGTCTGGGAGTGAAGCCGAACTTGGTGACTTTTGGAAATGCTGCCTTTGAGGTTGTTTCCCACCTACATAGAACCATTTTTATAAACTGGTTAACCAGGAGTCCAGCTGCAGGCATGTCCGGATACTTCCGTGGGGCCGGACCTCGTCACAAACTTTCTTTGTTTCTCCCCAAAGACTCTGCTATAGATGGGCTGGTTTGTGATGAGAAGGATGGCTAAAAGTTCCTGGTGGGACTGAAACTCATAAAGCGACAGTGGAAGAAAAGAAAACAACAAAACTTGTTGGTCAGTCACTTCTACTGTCAAATGAGGTATGACTGAGGCTGACAGGCTAAGAACGCTGACGCTCCTCTCATTAAACGGAGCCAGAGTTCTCTTAATCAGAAGGGCGTGTGTCCGGTATAAAACACAAACGGATGGTCAGTGGGAAATCATTTAAATCACCTTGTCTTACATGGACTTGAGCTGTGTGTGTGTTTATACAGAGAACTGCAATTAAAGTGAGGCCTCCTGAATATGATGAGTCTAAGCGGGGACTCAGTCACTCTGAAAAGTACAACATGAAATCTTCTGCACTGAATTTTTTGGTAAGAGGGTTTACACACATCTGGTAAATAACTTTCAATAATCAAGGAGTGAATGCCCTTCCTTTCACAATCTGTCCTTGCTGGCTAGCCATTTTGCTTTTTAAAGAATGCCACTCGAAATCAGCACCACCATGCTGCTGGTACGGGTCCTTCACCCCGTTGGCCACTGGCTCTCCCGGAAGGACCAGCCGGCAGCTGTTTGCTTTGAGGCTGTTTTGCTCCTCCAGACTCCAGTGGCTCTCCCGGAAGGACCAGCCGGCAGCTGTTTGCTTTGAGGCTGTTTTGCTCCTCCAGACTCTCTAACTAAAGTTGGATTTAACCTCTGTATTATTTCCACAACTTATCCCCTGTAACCAGCTTTCATGGAGGGGAGAGAAGAAAGCCATGAGAGAAAGCAGACATGGGAGGATTTTTTAAATTTAAAACCGGAAAATACAGTCTATAGCAAACGGAGTGAACGACTGTGCCACATTTTAGCTGTAGAAGCCAGTGTGCATTATAACAACAGTGTCCTTGACCAACTGGTTAAAGGAGGCTGGCTTTTTCCTGCCAATGAGCAAGCATCACTTTCGACTGCCTACTCAGAGAATGCTAAATAATTTTAATGGTTATCCAAGCCAATACAAATGCGGAGGTATACCTAATGTTACCTAAAGACAAAAAATGAGGAGAAGTTGGCGGGGGTCGGGGGAGGGAAGGGGAGGATTAGAGGCACGTGCCTCACCCAAAGCTAAAGTTAAGTTTGACGTTCTACTTTGCCTATCCTAAGAGAATGCTGTAACCCTCTGAACATATGTGGCTCGGGATTATTCACTGCCTTATATGACATGTCACTCGATTGTATTAACCAGATAGGAGATGTAAAGGTTCATTAAAAACGAAAAGTGCTTTTCAAATGTAAAGATGCTTATTCTAGTGTTGCCACATTCTCAAACGCTGGCACTGTCCCCATCTGCTTACCTCTGACATATCGTGCACCAGCAGAAGGGGAATGCTGACGGTCGTGATGTCGTGGGTACAGCAAACCTTGAGGATGTTTCGGAGCCCCATGATGGCGGGGTCCCGAGCAGTGATGTTTCCTGATTTCACGTTGTCATCCACACAAAGGTGGAAAGCAACATGTATTTCTGAGAGGTTAGAGTGCCGCGTGATGTAAAATTCTCCTGTGAACAGCAGATAACAATCATGACTTTCAGAAACACAAAGTACGTTCACTAGTGGGCTTCAGAGACGACTGGGATGGGCAGTCAATGTGCTGAACCAGCAGAGTTTATCAGGGACCTGTGTGGAACTCAGGAAGCAAATAGGATTCAGTTCAGTTCAGTCGCTCAGTCATGTCCGACTCTTTACGACCCCATGAATCGCAGCACGACAGGCCTCCCTGTCCATCACCAACTCCTGGAGTTTACTCAAACTCCTGTCCATCGAGTTGGTGATGCCATCCAGCCATCTCATCCCCTGTCGTCCCATTCTCCTTCTGCCCCCAATCCCTCCCAGCATCAGGGTCTTTTCCAATGAGTCAACTCGTCGCATGAGGTGGCCAAAGTATTGGAGTAGCACTACTTAATTCTCGGAAAGGTGATGGAAAAGAGAGGAGATGGCCGAATTCATCTTAGGTTCATAAACTGGTATGAAGAGACCACCAAGCAGTAAAGTACATCAAATGAGTGCTCATCATCACAATTTTGATATAAATGCTCAAAGCGCTCTAATTCACTCAAAATTAACATGTCAAGACAGGCTACTTGAAGACCTGTCTTCCCCACATCCTGCATCTGCTCCTCTCCATCTCAGTTTAGGGGCCCAGTTTCCTTCCATTAGCTGCAAGGACAGAAACACACGAGTTGGCCTTCATTACTTTCTTTTTCTCAGGACATAGGCCCCCATCCAATTCACCACCAGCTATTTTCAGTGTTGTTGCTTAGTCGCTAAGTTGTGTCCAACTCTTTGTGACCCCATGGACTGCAGCACGACAGGCTTCCCTGTCTTCCACCATCCCCTGGAGTTTGCTGATTCATGTCCATTGAGTCCATGGTGCTGTCTCATCATCTCATCCTCTGCCACCCCCTTCTCCTTTTGCCTTCAATCTTTCCCAGCATCAGGGTCTTTTCCAATGAGTTGGCTCTTCCCATCAGATGTCCAAAGTACTGGAGCTTCAGCATCAGTCCTTCCAATGCATATTCAGGGTTCATTTCCATTAAGATTGACTGGTTTGATCTCCTTGCTGTCCAAGGGACCCTCAAGTCTTCTCCAGCACCACAGTTCGAAAGCATCAATTCTTTGGTGCTCAGCCTTCTTCATGGTCCAACTCTCACATCTGTACATGACTATTGGAAAAATCATAGCTTTATCTATATGGGCCTCTGTCAGCAGGGTGATGTCTTTGCTTTTTAATACACTGTCTAGGTTTGTCACAGCTTTCCTTCCAAGGAGCAAGCATTTTATTTCATGGCTGCAGTCACTGCCCGGAGAGATTTGGGAGGCCAAGAAAATAAAATCTGTCACTGCTTCCATTTTTTCTCCTTCCATTTGCCATGAAGTGATCTATAACAATCACCTCAACTATCTCAAGTCTGAACAACACTGCATTTTTATTGCTATCACCCTAGTTCACAATACCATCTTATCACCTAGGTTTCAGCAACAGTCTCCAAATTAACCTCTCTGTTCCCATTCTTGCCCACCAACAGATCATATCCACACGTACAGTTAAAATGATTTTAAGTACAGATCAGATTACATAACTCTCCCACTTAATATGGTCCAAAAGGCTCACATGACACTCAGGAAAAAACCCAAACTCCATCCTCTTGTCTCACCCTCTCCTCCTGCCCCAGCCACACGGCCTTCCTTAAGGTCTTCAAACACACCAGCCTCGTTCCTGATCCAGGGCTGCTTCCCGAGGGCCCTTCCCCCATGGCTTCTGTCCAGATGACTGCTTTTCACCAATCATGTCTCAGAATGAAGTCACCTCCTCCCAGAAGTCTTCCTTGATTGACCCATCTGATTGATGTAGGACTCCCTCACCCCTCATTCATTCTCTTTCACATTGTTCTGTTTTATCTTCTCCTCAGCACTGAAATTCTTTTGTTATCTGTTTACCAGGTTGTTTTAAAGAGTGCACCACTGTTTACATGCCGTGACTTAAGGACTTTTGTCTCTCTCGTTTATCGTGCTGTCTGCAGCTCATGAAACTACAGGACCTGGTACATAGAAGGTACCTGGTAAGCTTTGGTTTGCTGAATGGGAATCAAATGTTTTCAACCAAAAGCTTGTTTTATCAAGCCTTAACATCCAGGCTTTCTACAATCACTCCATTTCCTAGGTAGCCATGCCAGCCATTGGCTTTTATATTTGGCAGTTTCTGTCAATGTAAACAAATAGAAAGCATATAAAAATATGTTTTTATAAACACACCTGCCTCACTGGAAATTCTGAGATGTTCTTCGAGGAAAATCCTGCTGTTCTAAAACCTAGTCTTCCATCACTAACCCACGTCCCCACAAATTCCGCTCATCCTGGCCTCAAGGTCCTTATCTTAGGATTTTACTTTATAATTACTTATAAACACGGAGTATGTTTAAAGCACTTAACACACACTGGCACAGTGTTTAACCATTTCCAGTTACAAGTGTACATAAGTTGTGTCACTGATAGGCCCTAATCAAGTCTGTTATTTTTTTCTTTGACTTATGATACAAGAACTAGATAAGCCATAAAAGAAATTAAAGAAAGGCCAGTGACAGGCCAAACTAGACAAAAGAAACATTAAGAGAAAAAAACTTGTCTGGCAAGAAGTGGTACGGCTGACATTTCCCTGGCAGGCAACAGGAGACGCAGACTGCTTATCAGAAACCGGGCAGGTCCCACGAAGTCTCACCTTTCGAGCTCTGGCTGATGGCTTAGGTGATGGGAGTCACCATGTTGAACCTGGGCCATGGCCAGCACGGGGGCTGATGACTTAGTGCACAAGTCAGGTGTTCCTAATCCCCAAGCTGGCACTGCTTTCTCTGACCTCAGACGACTTGTCCTGTGCCTCGTTTTACCCGTGAGGAACATGGGGGTCTCGGAGTTGGTAGCGGTGATTGAAATAACAGAAGACGGTAGGAAAAGGGACCAGACTGGGTGTTAAGAAGATCTGGCGTCTAGTACTGACTGACTGAGTGATCTTGGGCAAATCAATTCAATTTATGGATCCTCTGTACTTCATGAATTAGATGGGAAAAATAACGCCTGACTGCTTTCCTTACAAAGCCGTTTTAAGAATTAAAGAAGCTGATGTTTAATTCTTAAGATGATACAAGCTACAGGTAATTAGATAACGACAAAGCAAACTCACTGGTTAAAAGAGACATAAATCAAACTCTTTCTCTGTAACTTTGAAATCTAGAAGCATTTTGTGATCTGGACCCTTCTAATCTCCTGTATCCTTCCTGGCTAGGCTGGCAAGCTTTCCCCAAACGGAAACTCAGAAGCTACCAGCATAGCTCACTGAACACTTATTACTCCTTCTCTGATGCTGACTTATGGCACAGTCTCCTGATTTACTAGTAACAGCCAGATTTTCACCTACAGGCTTTCTCCAAGAAGGACCAAGAGGGAAAACACACACAGCAAAAAAGAGTTAAGTTTAAAAAAATCAGACATCTGTACCTCCAGAACAGATAAGGGTGACACATTTTAAGAAAGCCACTAAATATAGATGATTTAAATTATGGATCTACAAAGAGATAAGATAAATCCTGTCTCAATGAAGGTATTTTTAGACAGAGAGGAGGACAGTTTCCTGCTCCACAAAGTGGAGAACCGCCACGCGGTGATGCAATCCCTGCCACTTAGCATTACCCACCGGGGTGGGCTGTCTGAGGTGGGCGCGCACTCGGAAGCCGACGACCACAAGCGAGCTGGCCGGGAGGGTAGTGAGCACCAGGATTACGTGGAATGTGGCCTCGGCATCGAAAATCTGGGGAAGGAAACGGGGCCAGACAACCTTGGTTGTTTCTGTACCTATGACATGTGGTTGAAGAAACTTGACACAATGTCTGCAAACGGGCCTTCCTGTTGTGACCTGTCATACAAACACTGCTGAGGGTCATCAGAGGGCATGAAGTCTGGCAGAGCATCAGGGGCCTGAACTTCCAGGTGATAAGCAATATTCCCAAGAGATACGGGAGAGTTAAAGAAAGGGGAGACAGGAAAATTTATGGGGAAATGGCAATAAAAAAAGATTCTAAATCAGATGACCCGCGTTCTTCCCACGTGTTCAATTATTTACATCTCTATTTACTGTTGTTTATATATCAGAAGAAAGATGATTTATTGGCTCATTTAAGAAACTAAGAAACAATGTGTGAAGTAGCAAATAATAATAAAAACTTATGCAACGGCTTGAGGAATTTTTCTTATATGCATCTGGGAAAACTCAGGGCTGGTATAAGAATAAGGATTTAGTTGCTGGACACTGTGACAGTGTATTTACAGAGATACAAAGTTCTAAGGTGATACACTTGACAAATTGTATAATGTATACCAAAAGAACTTGTGTTTCAAATCTATGATTTCAATGCATGTGATTATAAGAAAACTGCAAGTGAAATAATACTCACCAGGTAAAATATTTAAATAGTTTCTATCTGCAGTTTTAGTCTTATCATCACTTCCTCCATTTCGGCTTCCAGAATCTATTCATAAGATAATGCAACGTGAGAGAATACAGTTAACATATGAGAACACACTACTACTGTCCCCCAAAAACCACAACAGTAGCAAACATTTACTAAGGATCTCTAGGTATCAGGTGGTCTGATACATGCTTTATATGGATGGTCTCTCTTAATTCTTACAAAACTCCTCTAACCACAACACTGTACCCTTTTCACCTTATACATGAGAACAAAGTCTTAGATGGGTTAATTCATTTAAGGAAGGAGGCACGGGTAAGTGGCAGAACCAGGTCTGGAACTCACACACTCAGATTCCAAATCCTGTGGTCTTGACCACAGGAGACTTGCCAAGGCCCTGTTTTCACTGGGCGGGTCCGGGCGCTTAGTTAACGACACCTAAAGTAACTTCATTAGGGGCTGTGGGGTGGCCATCGCTATTTGTAGGATCTGAGTCACTGTTGAGAATATAACGTGCTCAGGACGCAGGCTGATGGTCAGCAGCACCAGGAATCAACTGATACTCAGCCCATCCTTGAAATCTGTCACTTCTTTTCTGACACTATATACAATTTCTTCCAAACAGATACTTGAGATTCCATTTCAAATGGAGTCTTCTTTTCCCCCCCAGATATTCAATAGTTTTTCTTTCCTTTTAGAAGGCATGACGTTACTTTGAAGGATAAATGTTGGTAAAATAAAATATAGCACATTTGATTATTCATTATTATGGCTGAACATATTATTTTATATGTGTACATATATTTTTAATAGAAGATACATCTGAATTTTATAAGAATCCTAAGAGAACTGAAAAATGCAGCATGATTATTATTAGCATACCTATCTTTAAGAAACTATATATCTATACAAATTAAATATAAAACTATATTGCAATGGCCTTCAATATCAGAAAAGCACTTGAAAACACTCAGAACTTCAAATGAGTAAACTGAAACTACCAAGGGAGTATTATAGTTTTTAAAAAAGTTCTGAACAAAAGTAACGCCGCGTTTTACCCACTGACTACTTTGAGTAATTGATTTATAACACTGTACCTTGTAAACACATATATTTTATAAATAAACTGAGGGAGGGAGAGGCATAGACATAAGGCTCTGTGTTGCCAGAATCCACATTTAATGCAATAATCTGATTCTCATACAGACCCATGAAATTGATAGGCTCTGAATAAATGGCTGCTCGCAGCACAGAAAACAAAAAAAAAAACAGTAAATGGGGACTCTTTAATTTTGTTCACGTGCAATCTGAAACTGACAAAATCCTTCCTAAGAAACAAAAAAAAAGAACAGTTTATAGCCTACCCTGCTTTCCAGGTTTCAAAGGTAATACCCTGTAACACTAAAGAAGATGGTTATTTTTAAAAATGGGTGTAAAACATGTACAAAAATGAAACTGCCTTTGGCTTATCATGAACCACGGAAACACAAAGATGCTGATATAAAAAACACAGAAAAATAGCAGAGTGTCTTAGAATAGACAGACTTGTGTACCAGGATGCAAACGTGCAGAACAAACACATGGGCATGTCTCAGAAAAGGAAGTGATGGGGAAAGCATTTTGGCAACTCCTCTATAACAACACGCGGGCTCCTCTAAGAAAGGAGTCTTTTATAAACCTACTTGTTTCACTGACTCACTTAAAAACCACAAAATAGCTGCCTGAACAAGAACAAAATACTACCATGATGTACACACGGTGCCCTAACCATGTGGTTTAGAAACTTTCCGTCCCCACACACTTACTAACCTCTCATAAATAAACTCAGCACCCTCCGCCTTCTCCTACACTGTCGTGATCTCTGTCTTCATTCTTTTAGTCACTACTGAGAATAATAGCTGAACATCTCTGATCCCATCCATGCCTCTTTGAATGAAATGGAGGCAGGAGTGGGCAGAAGAATAAGAGGATGCGCTGGAATTTGCCTGAAGGTCCTTGCTGGGGTACACTTCCAGGCTGATTTCCTAGACTCAGCCGGGGTCTGTTGTGAGTGACGAGCATTGCCAGAGCAAAGCCATGGTTACCCAGAGTGGAAATACAAACTGGTGGGGTCACGGTGCAGAGTAATTGCTAACATTATCAGAAGTACAACTGCCTATGCCCTTTAGCTCAGGAATGTCTCTTTAGGACTCTGTTTCACAGATATGCACACTCATGCAAGATGATCTATGTGTAAGGTTATTCATGCCTTATTACTTAGAAGAGAAAAACTCTGGAACAGATGAAATGCCCATTAACAGGGACCTGATCATTAAGGGAAATCTTATCCAGCAGTAACAGGCTCTAAGGATGCTCTGTCTGTACAGATGTGGAAGGATGCCCAAGATAAACTATTCAGTGGGAAAAAAGCAGAGGACAAAAGAGTGTGCAGAGAAAGCTGCATTTGCACGAAGTGGGAAAATCTGTAAATACACACAGACACGTGCTCACACACACGTTCATAAACGCGTGTCTGGAAGGTACATGAGACACAGCACTGGCTGCCCCAGGAGCAGGAAACCGGATGGCTGGTGGACAGAGTCAGAGTCTCTCACCGTATGCTCTTTTGTACATTTGAATTGTGAATCTTGAGGTGGTACTAGTGGTAAAGAACCCCTACCAAAGAGGAGACACAGGAGACGTGGTTTCCATCCCTGGATTGGGAAGATCCCCTGGAAGAGGGCATGGCAACCCACTCCAGTGTGCCTGCCTGGAGAACCCCACAGAGGAGCCTGGTGGGCTACAGTCCATGGGGTCACAAAGAGTCGGACATGACTGAAGTGACTTAGCAAGTATAAGACTATCTTTACCTATTTCAGCAACGATTACAATAAAAAAAAAGGTTTTTTAAGTCTACTGAATAAACAGGGACACTATTATGAATGCTAATCAAGTTGATTCTAGAGAACTGCCTTCTATCATCAGAACAGGAGGAATTCTTCAACATACATGGGAGAGAGAATAAAGTCACCAAGCAAAGGTATAGCAGTGTCTCTGATTACTATAAAAAACAAAACCCATGGGCCCAAAGCATCAAAAAACTCGAAGGGTTTCTCTGAAACACTGCAGCTGCAAAACAAACAAATAAGACAGACAACCAAAGCACCAGAAGCAGATTTAAAGGTTTGACCAACTATTTAAAAATGTGCCGTATTTTATTTCTTGGGCAAGACATCAAGTTTCTATAAGAAATAATAAAACACTGAGTATGTTCTCAAGCCATATAAGAGCATATATTGTAATTTTAAGCTTGTGACATACGATGAAATATCAGAAAAATAAGAAAAATACACCTCATGTATACTCTTGAATGAATATTACCCTTATATATTTACCTCCTAACTAAACAAACTTATGGCACCAATTTACTTTTTAAAGAGATTCCTTTTTAAACTTCCATTTTTCAATTAAAGGTAGCAGAATTACTCTGTAGAAATTTTTTAAAATCTGAGTTTCACTGACCATGAGATTCTTTCAACTTGCTCCTGCGCTGGGTTCTTGCATAAAGTACGACCTGCTGGACAACCTCCAGCTGCTCTTCAATCCGGGGGAAATGAAAGTCAGTGCACTCCTGGCAAACCGTGGCGAAATCTAAGGGACCCAACACAGTTAACGAACTTGCAAAGGTGAAGTATCAGATCTTTAGTGTTTACTTTAGAAAGATCCAGCAGAAATGCAACACAGTATTCCCAAGGACGCCATCTCATACTTGTCCTCTCTATAATTATCTCTTAAGTAAGTTAAGGGACAACAATTTGGTTTTGATCTGAAACTCACTCTCTCAATGGCTCAAAAGAATACATAATTAATAGGCAAGGAAATTTTAATATAAGTCCAAACCTTCTTTAAATAGTAGATACTTCGATCATAATCCAGTCCCCAAAAGTGCTAAAAAATCAAATTCTTACATTTATGATAGAAAATAAAATATTCAAGCGTCTTAAAAGCAGTTCCACATTTCAATGCACTTTCTATGTCAAACTCTTAAAACATCATCAGAAAAAATGAACTGTACTAAGAGGGAAGGCAGAATTCAACCTGGCATTTTTAAGAAATAGATTATTTAAAAATATAAAGAAAAATCATGACAAATGGATGAACTAAAATTTATTCAGGATCTGCTTCTAAATTGAAAAATGTATTTATGTCTTGATTATTCTTCTTGTGATAAGGAAAAGGATCCTTCTTGGAAAAGGATCCTTAAAAGTATTATCTATGATAGGATTTTAAGAAAAACGCAATGCCCTGAAGCACCCCAAGGGTGGTCAAGTATGAAACAAATCTCACACGGCCACCTCTGGGTCTGTGTGCTGTCAGGACTACCTGAAGACTGGGGTGACTCAAGCTTTTTTCAGTTCTTTTCCTCTAACTGCTTTCTCTTTCAAATGGCATTAAATGGAGAACTTTGAGGGCGTTAACTGTGCATAATGCTAACGTACCTCTTTTAATGCCACTGTAGGAATTGATTCGATTATCGACCAGCAACACCAGGCCACAAAGGGACGTGGAGTAAAGCGACAACGCTGTCTGCAGTCGGTGGAGCTTCACGCCACTTCGGTGGTTCCTCTTGTGCTTGCAGAAGTCCAGCATGTCTGCTCTCAGCAACCTCAGGTTATGCATGGTCTTCAACTGGGCCCCTGGGGGAAGGCAGCAGGCCCAGAAAGATACTTAGACAGCTGCAGAAAGCCAGCAGAGCGGGAGGCAAATCTCTGTGGCAGGAATCCCAGCAAATCTGCGCTACGTATACTTTAAGACGGGCTTTTCCATTTTCTCTTTTGCTGTTGTTTACTTGCTGAGTCGTGCCCAACACTTTGCGAACCTATAGACTGTAGCCCACCAGGCTCCTCTGTCCATGGTGATTCTCCAGGCAAGAATACTGGAGGGGGTTGCCATTTCCTCCTCCAGGGGATCTTCCTGACCTAGGGATTGAACTTGTATCTCCTGCACTGGCAGGTAGGTCCTTTACCACTGAGCCACCGAGGACGCTTGTGTTCTATTTTAATCATGTTCTATTTTAATAACTATTAATATCTCATCTTTGCACTTGAAAAAAAATAATAGATGAGCTAAAATAGAAAACTTACAGCCAAGAAACATAGGCTTTCTTGGAGAAGAACCTAATTTTTCATTTTAAAAGTGAAGTGGAAGTCACTCAGTTGTGTCTTGACTCTTGGCGACCCCACGGACTGTGGCCTACCAGCCTTCTCTGTCCATGGGATTTCCCAGGCAAGAACACTGGAATGGGTTGCCATTTCCTTCTCCAGGGGATCCTCCCAACCCAGGGATCAAACCCAGGTCTTCCGCATTGCAGGCGGATTCTTTACTGTCTGAGCCACCAGGGGAGCCTTTCATTTTAAAAAGAACCTGGATATGTTCCACTCATATGCTAAGGATTTTTCTCTTAAAAACATTAAAAAAGTTTCACCGGTTACAAAGTGGTGACTGTAAAAAGTTAACACACTTACCTAAGTGGATGGTAAAGCTTTCTTCTAACTTCCTCTGCTCCTCATAAACCCTTCCATTTGCTTCAGCGGATTCTCTGAACTGACTTGGCTGAACTTTAATTTCCTCGCTGCAATTGAAAAAAATATTGATATGCTTTTTTTTAGTAGGCTTGTCAAGAAATTTTCCTATAGGAAAGAAAGCTTTATAGTGAAATGAAAGTGAAAGTCACTCAGTCCTGTCTGACTCTTTGCGACCCCATGGACTGTAGCCCACGAGGCTCCTCTCTGTTCATGGGAGTCTCCAGGCAAGAATACTAAAGTGGGTTGTCATGTCCTACTCCAGGGGATCTTCCCAACCCAGGGATCAAACCCGGTCTTTTGCATTGCAGGCAGAGTCTTTACCATCTGAGGCACCAGAGAATGAAACTAATTGCTGAAAGTTGCACTTAATTTATTCCTAAATTTATCCTTTATCCATGGGGCAAGGAAGACAAGTACTTACAACTTATAAAAGTCCCACTTATTCTTCTATTTCTTTTCTTATTTCTTTCAGCCAGTGAGGTATATTTTTTTAGTTATTACAATATCAATTCCTATGTCACTATGTAATATTTCTTAGTAGCCTAGGGAATGATTAAATAGTGACTCACATTACCTTAAAATGTTTAAAATGACATTAAAAAACATTAATATATCCTTATATCAGGTGGCATCAGTGAAACTAGAGAATAAATGAAGTGAGAAAAATGAAAATTAAAAACAAAAAAGTCAAATAAAAGAAAGAAAAAAGAAGAAAGTTCATTTTGACATATTCATATCCTTTTTTAAAAAACCATTTCCTATTTTTTCACTGCCAATAGTCTTGCATTAAAAAACTTCTCTTAGCTCTGATCTGCCCTTGCACTTCCTGAAAATATTTCCGTGGAGGCATCAGAATTGTACAACTATTCAATTCACATATTACAGTGAGCTGAAGATGATGCAAATCTGCAAGTTATCTATTCCCCTGACTAGATTTTTGCAATAAACCCAAACAATCTTATTTACGTCACTGATGGACTTCATTAGCAAATATAGCCAATTTCAACCCCCAAACAAATTCACACAGATTTACACTAATAAATATCATCTTAGGATTCAGGAAGCCACCAAAGAAAGTTGTTCCCGTTCTAATGACAAGAAAAGCCAGGATAATCTATATGGCCATAACTGTTCTGAAGCTCATCAGAGATCTGAGGTAACAAGGTGACCAAGAAATTAAATTCTGAAGTCTGACATGCCTGTCCCAGGGGAGACAGGACACATGGTTTTCGGTTTTCGCAGAGCATCGTAGAAACGAAATGCTGCAATGTATGTAAGCAGGTAAGAAGAAATCAGCTAAAATGTTAACACATTCTTCAAGGTCAAGTATGAGGTGGCATGTACCTTTAGGACAGCAATGCCTGTTATATGCTCTTGCAAACTCTTTCCCACCAGCCTCTACCGAGGGCTTCCAGGAAAGGCCTGGGGGTGGGGCAGGAGAAGACAGCCCACCGGGCGGCACGGACAGAGGTGCTAAGGAGGCCCCAAGCCCTCAGCCCAGATCTGCAGGGCTTGCCCGAGACCATGCGACCTGCCTCCCACCCTCCACCAGGAGCCTGGCGCCAAACGACAAACAAGGTCCGTCTGTTGCCGGGGGCAGGGCAGCGGCACACCCGGGGACCACCTGCTTCGGGACAGGCCCTCAAAGGCCACCGACGCAGGATGGCAGAGGAGAACCGTCTAGAAACCAGAGCCCCACTCTCAGCACAAAGTGGCCGCAGCGTACCGCTGTGGACAATGAAGCCTGAGGTGGACGGGACTGGAGAACAGAAACCAAACAGCCCGACTGCCAACTAGATTTCCACGGCCTTCACGTTAATAGCCTGCTCGTTTCTGGGCACAGGTACTGTTTACGCAGGTGGCGCTAGTGGTAAAGAATCGGCCTGCCAATGCAGGAGATAAAAGAGACACGGGTTCAATCCTTCGGTCAGGAAGATCCCCTGGAGGAGGAAACAGCCACCCACTTCAGCGTTCTTGCCTGGAGAACTGGACACATCTGAGCCACACACTACTTCTCTTCTAATACACATAACAGTCAGCATTTTATAGTGGATATATTTACTTAAATTCATTATAATATATATGAAGTACTATATCTTGAGTTATATGTGTAAGTTTGAACTATAAAATTTCTAGAAGAAAATATAGCAGAAAATCTTTGTGATCTTGAATTTCAACAATATCTTAGATAAGACACAGATCTTTTAAAAACTGACAAACTGTACCTAAGTAAAATGAAAAGTTACTCTTTGAAAGAAACTGATAAGAAAATGAAAAGAAAAGCCACAAGGTGCTAGAACATATTTGTAAAACATATATCTGGTTATACACTTGTACCAGAATACATAGAGAACTTTCACAACTCAATAATAAGAAAAAAAAAAATAAAGGAGAGCTATGGCTAGAAGATCAGCACATGAAAAAATGTTCAGCATTAGTAGCCACCAGGGAAATGCAAAGACACACAAAATGAGACACCATTACAAAACCTACCAGAATGGCTAAATATCACCACCAAGTGCTGGCGAGGGTGTGGAGCATCTGCAACCCTCATACATGGGTGGTGGGGATGCAAAAATGTCACAACCACTTCGGAGAACAGCTGGGCAGTTTCTTATAAGATTAAACACACCATGGATTTTACTTACTGTGTCACCCGGCAATCCCACTCCTAGGAATTTACATTAGAGAATTTAAAACATATGTCTACACATATTATATTATATTATAAACATCCATCCATCCATATGTTCCTGCTTCCCTGTTGGCTCAGATGGTAAAGAGTCTGCCTGCAATGTGGGATACCTGGGTTCGATCCCCAGATTGGGATGATGATCCCCTGGAGGAGGGCATGGTAACCCACTCCGGTATTCATTCTTGCCTGGAGAATCCTAAGGACAGAGGAGCCTGGTGGACTATAGTCCATGGGCTCAAAAAGAGTCGGACACAACTGAGCGACTGACTTTCATTTTCACTTTCATGACTATACAAAGACCTGTATGTGAATGCTTACAGTCACTTTATTTATAATTGCCAAAATCTGGAAATACTTCAAATGTCCACCATTGGATAAACAAAAAAATAACAGAGCAACAAAAAGGGAAGAACCACTTATAATGGCAACAACGTGAATGAGTCTCAAAAGGGTTAAGGGAAGAAAGCAAGCCATAAACTGCTCCATACAGTTTGATTCCATTTATGAGAAAATCAAAATTACAGGGACAGAAATCAGATAAGGTTACCATGAGCTCAGCAAGCAGAAGGGGGGTTAATATAAATGGATGAAAAGGAAATGCTATGTCTGGACTGCAGTGATGGCTTCATGACTAAGACTATCAAAACTCATCAATATGTAAACCTAAAACAAGTGACTTTTATGCAATTTATCCTTCAATAGATCTGACTTTAAACAAAAAGGCAAAAATAAATGAATTTTAAAAACTGGTCAATTTCATACAGTTCCATACATAGTTAAGCTGAAAACAGGCTTCTGCTCCCCCAGGAAACCTATCAAAAAGGAAAGCAAGCTAACAAAGTCACAGTAAAAATACTCTTTCCTTGGAATATTTGATTTTTTAAAGCAGCAGCAGCTAGGGGTCAATACTTACACAATGGAACTGATCACACAGAATGAATTTCTGAAACCATAGTAGCAAGTGAAAGTGAAAGTGAGAGTCACTCAGTCGTGTTCGACTCTGCGACCCCATGGACTGTATAGTCCATGGGATTCTCCAGGCCATAATACTGGAGTGGGTAGCCTTTCCCTTCTCGAGGGGATCTTCCCAACCCAGTAATTGAACCCAGGTCTCCCACATTGCAGGCAAATTCTTTACCAGCTGAGCTACAAGGGAAGTCCAAGAATACTGAAGTGGGTAGCCTATCCCGTCTCCAGTGGATCTTCCTGACCCAGGAATCGAACCGGGGTCTCCTGTATCAAGAGATATTTTTTGTAGCAAGGGGCTTCTGAGCTTCCATTAGGTCAGTGATTTTCTGCCTTTTTGACTACAGTATAGAGTACATATTTAATATTTTACATTTTGTTCAATACACACATGTGTAATGCACTGATGTTTTTTCCCCTAGTCTACTCTACTCTACTCAGATCTGTTCCATTCCATTCCATTCTATGATCATTTTTAAAGTTCAGTTGGAAAGTAAAGGATCTAGCATGGTTCCCAGCAGACTACAAGGAGCAGTCTGAGAAATACCACTGGACCTTATGGCACATGGATGTTTCCAGCCTGTCCCCGACCTCTCCTTTTGTACTGAGTTTAGCAATTTTTTCATTTGAAATGCAGAGTATATACATGTTAGTGTCCAGGGGATTATCCCATTTCTAATCATAAAAAATTGTTTAAATGTTTCTAAGGTATTGTCTTGGGGAAAACAACAACACAAATAAAAAATAGGAGGTGATAATAGACAGCATCATGTGAACAGTTTAATGATAATCTACTCATAAGCCTGTCTATACACCCATCCCGTAAGTATTTATTTACGTGCCTGTATCAATGGAAGTAAGATCATCCCCAAGAAAAAGAAATGCAAAAAAGCAAAATGGCTGTCTGAGGAGGCCTTACAAATAGCTGTGAAAAGAAGAGAAGAGAAAAGGAAAGATATACTCATTTGAATGCAGAGTTCCAAAAAATAGCAAGGAGAGATAAGAAAGCCTTCCTCAGTAATCAGTGCAAAGAAATAGAGGAAAATAATAGAAAGGGAAAGACTAGAGATCTCTTCAAGAAAAACCAAGGGAACATTTCATGCAAAGTTGGGCTCAATAAAGGACAGAAATGGTATGGACCTAACAGAAGCAGAAGATGTTAAGAAGAGGTGGCAAGAACACACAGAAGAAGTGTACAAAAAANTGTCTTGAGTCTTCCAGGTTCACTGCATTTTCATACAAATGTTATAATCAACTTGACTTTCCACAATTAATATTCCACAAAAAATTGGCTATTTGTAGACAATATGATACACCTGGACCCCGTAGACAATCATTGATCAAACTAACTCAGTAGCAGAATATAAAGTGAACATGTGGAAGTCATTAGCCTTCTTATAAACAAACAGTAACTAGACATGACAGAACATCCTAGTAACAAAATATTACAAATAACATTTAATTAGAAATAAATTTATATGAGGAAAACTTTAAACAAAATTAAGTTTGGTAAAATGTTATCTCTCATATTTGGATCAGATATCACCACATCATAAAAATGTCAGTTCTCCCTAGTTTATTGATAGAGTTCACTCAGTTCCTCACCTCCAATTCTAGCTTTTTTGTGAAGACAGACAAGTTGATACATGCTACTCCATATGAAGTTAACAGAAATACTAAGAAAATTTATGAGGACTAGCCCTCACATATGAAAAATAAACTGTAAAGTCTGTAACTAAAACCGTGGTTAACAGCCAATGAAACTCCAATACTTTGGCCACCTGATGCGAAGAGCTGACTCATTTGAAAAGACCCTGATGCTGGCAAAGATTGAGGGCAAGAGGAGAAGGGGACGACAGAGGATGAGATGGCTGGATGGCAAAACTAACTCAATGGACATGAGTTTGGGTAAACTCCGGGAGTTGGTGATGGACAGGGAGGCCTGGCACGCTGCAGTCCATGGGGTCGCAAAGAGTCAGACACGACTGAGCAACTGAACGGAACTGAACTGAACTGATCAAGAGCTAGACACCTGACAGAGATCTGGGGATTACAACAGCAGAAAAAATAGACATGGTTTTTTACCTTCAAGGCAAGACAAGTAGGGAAGAAGGACATTATATAAATAAAATGCTATATCTAAATGTTTACAGCACACACTAGAAAACCCTGAAAACAGGATTATTATACTGTACTAAGTTTATCTCCAATAGAATATACTTTAGAATTTGAAAAAAGAAAGAAATTCTCAAAGGTGAGTACACAGCCAGGAAAAAACAGGCAATATAAGAAACAGTGCATTTAGGCCATAAGGGACCACACGAATTATGAATTATAGGAAGTCTTTCTTCATTTTGTACCCTGTACATGCTTGTATTACTGCACATATCATTCTGTACAGTATTGTTTTATTTACAGGTCAGTATCTATGGAATATAAGCTCCCCACAGGCAGTTATCTTGTTTTTCTGCTTAAAGAGTGCTTAGCATTTAAGATGCATTCAACCACTGTGTAGTGCATTGAAAGGAAACCAATTTTAAAAAACACAGGAGATAGCAGTCAAGGTATTTAGGCATACATACCCACAAGATTTACAAGGCTAAGTTCTAGATGGGGAATCACCTTTGTAAAACATCCTGCTCCACATAATCCACATAAAGTCTATAAGATGAAAGGTGTTAAAAGAAGCATAGAGTTATCTTTAATTTTCATAACTTAAAAATATCTACAACTAAAAAGGTCCAATTTTACAGTAAATACAAACTGTTACTGATAACAACTTTTCATCTCATAAAAATGATACCTGATTAATACCTGAGGGAGCTGTTGTTGGGGTTTTTCAGGTCTTGATGAAGTTTAATTACCCATTCCTGATACTCTTGTTTTTGAATGGCAGTCGACTGTTTTAATTCATTGGACCACTTATTTTCTAAGTCCTAAAAAGAGAGAGTATACCAATTAGTTAAATTTTTTTTTCCCCACAAAAATAAACAAAAAAATGCACTCTGAAGTCATTATATTAACCTCACTTACCTGCTGGGATTCGAAATGTTGAGCCGCCAGGGTGTTCACATCTTGGTCTGTCAGTGACTTTCCCAACTCCTGCATCACTTTTTCCATTTCAATACCTTGTCTGAAACATAAATAAGCAGATTGGATACAGTCATCACATTTTAAAGGTGCAGAACCACTTCAGATTCACGGAAACAACAGCTACGAAGTGAAAAGAACATTTTCTTCTTATAGAAAGGTGCTCAGGCACAGTACTGTCTGGAAAGCACTCTGAAGCTTCGCAATGGAAAGGTGGAAACAATGATGCCAACGTCGTATGGTATACACAATGTCATGTGTGCAGTTAAATCGGAATCTAAATTTAGTGCATAAAGGAGAACACTCAGAATCCAGGAGACATTTCAACTTCCGTAACTACTATTGAAAAGTCCAGAGGCTTTTTCATTCGCAGATTTTCACAAAGAAGATACTCCACAATTCAGCTCAAAGTACATTTTTTATTCCTCTGAACGTGAGTTAAAGTGACTTCAATCTTCGAATCATACACTATAATCAGAAGCTGCCAGTTAGGTTCTAAGAATCAAACTGGTATTAAGTCACAGCGTTCCCTTTCTAGAGGAATGTGAAATATATTCTGAAGATACGTTTTTGTCTTAATTTATCCAAATAAACAATGTGCGGAAATTAAAAATGGTATTTCCCCATAAGAAAAACTAATTGATGGTGCTAGAAGTTCAGATAGTGGATATTTACGGAGGAAATGGGTGGGAACTGCTGGATGGGTGGGAAGGAGCCTTCTGCAGGCTGGAGATCACCTACTTCTTGATCTGGGAGAGGAGCACATGGGTGTGCTTACTTTGTGGAAGCTTACTGAACTGTATACCTATAGTCTACTGCCTTTTTGTATGTAGGTTATATTTTAATAAATAAGTTGATTAAATCTTATCTCTAATAAAAGTGTATTAATCAAGTTTGTTCTAAAATACATTTCAAACAAACTTGGAGGCAATGAAAACACAGACATGAACTAAAGGATTTCACTATCAGTTTAGTCAGTTTACGTATATTGCTATTAAAAGAGAAACTGTACTTATTTCTAAGAACTGATTAAGATACTTACGTGTATATCATAAATGAAACTCATTCGTATGTTACACTTTTATACATCTCAATGTATATCTTCCAGTATCAAATATTCAGCACCACTTAATTCCCACTTAATGAGAATGCAGGTGACCCCACTAATTTTTTAATAATTACTAGAGGTCAGGTGAAGATAATGCTTGCATGTAAGATTTTTATTTAAAACAGAAGTAACTGCTAAGCATTTATAATTACAAACTTTGATACAATATATTAATATATTACACATGTTCCCTCTAGTGGATAAAAAGTATCATTGCTACTTTATAAAGTTTCAAAGAACTATCTTGAATCTGGTTTGCTAAAACAAGGAAATTTCAATCAGGAAAAAGAAAACTAATAAGTAACAATTCAACAAATAAAACTTCATGAACATTTATTTCACCCTTAATGTGTTAGAAGTGCAAGTACAGTTAACGATACAACATTTATTTCTATGATTAAGATGAAAGAAAAATTTATTATATGAAATATTATGTAGTGGCTCAGTATGTCTGTCATGATGATTCTGACAACCTGTACGTTATCTTGAAGACATTTAGGAAAAAAGATCATTATAACTGTGCTGATGCTGTATTGAGACAAATTCTTTTAAAGATGTAAAATGGGATTAAAATGAAAGGAGAGATGAGAAAAGGTGTCACTTCTACTCATGAATTAGATAAATGAATTAAACACCAAAATTTTGGGTGAACTTCCACTAATGAATTCCAATTTACTATTAGTTATATGGTTCAACTTTGCAAAAAATATTACCTACCTTAAAGAGAACATGGTTTATTTTTATTTATTAAACTGACAGTTTGGACACATGAAAAACTATAAAACTGTTCTTAAAATAAATGTATTCAAACATTTTTAAAGTCTTTATTGAACTTTTTACAATAGTGTTCTGTTTTGTTTTGGATTTTTGGCCATGAGGCATATGTGAGATCTTAGTTCCCCAACCAGGGACAGAACCTGCGCCCCCCGCATTAGAAGGTGAAGTCTCAACCACTGGATGAGGGAAGCCCCAAATGTACTCCATTATTGTCTGTATGTTTGGGGGTGGGGGAACAAAGTCCCGTCAAGAAGTCTGGCCAAAGGACATTTCAAAAAATAACATAAACCAAAACAAATCCCTATTGAAAAGCTATCCTCTAACAGAACAATATATATATAAAGTACCAGTAAATGTGATCAATTCTGGGTGTTCACTGGAAGGACTGATGTTGAAGCTGAAACTCCAATACTTTGGCCACCTGATGCGGAGAGCTGACTCCTTGGAAAAGACCCCGATGCTGGGAAAGATTGAGGGCAGGAGGAGAAAGGGATGACGAAGATGAGATGGTTGGATGGCATCACCAACTCAACGGACATGAGTTTGGGTAAACTCCATGAGTTGGTGATGGACAGGGAGGCCTGGTGTGCTGCAGTTCATGGGGTTGCAAAGAGTTGGACACGACTGAGCGACTGAACTGAACTGAACCTGTAAATGCAGATAATTAGTAACTTAATGCGGCTTTCAAAAAACTGAAGGGTTAAGTGGAATAAGAACCTTCTTCCAACTTAGAAAAAAAGAACAATTATAGAACAGTGATGGCCAGAGATGAAATTTTCTGGGAGGTGGAAGGAGCAGGCAGCAAAGAGGACCACAGCTCAGAGCAGCTCAGCCGCTGACTGAAAGCAGGAGCGACAGCCACTGACGAGAACTATAGATGCCGAGCTGGGCATTTTTTAATATCCCTAAACAGGTAGAACGAGTGCAGGCCCAGAAAACCTGAGACCTGAGAACAGATTCAGAATGAGAGGAAGACTGTATTATCTGAAGCCCCGGTGGGAAAAAAAAATCAAACAAATGAAGTTCAACAGTGGGTAGTTAGTGCTGGGTAACAACCATTGTATTTTAAAAAATCTAAAGTCTGTTCACAATATTCCATGCGTGCATGTTTAGTTGCTTCAGTCATGTCTGACTCTGTGACCCAATGGACGATAGCCCACCAGATTCCTCTGTCCATGGGATTCTCCAGGTAAGAATACTGGAGTGGGTTGCCATGTCCTCCTCCAGGGGATCTTCTTGACCCAGGGATCAAACCGACATCTCCTGAGTCTCCTGCGTTGCAGGCAGATTCTTTACTCATGGAGCCACTTGGGAAGTCTGTTGACAATATTATTGGATATGAAATAAAGAACTAGAGGAAATCCAATTTCTGCTTCAGTGAGCTGGGGCAGTAACAGTAGGCTTGTGGATCAAATGAGACAGGGCATCTGTTAAGGACTGCGTGTTTGTGGCCCCAGAGAGTACAAATGTTGAAACCCTAACCTTCACTGTGATGTTATGTGGAGGTGGGGCCTTTGGGAGGCAATTAGGTTGAGGTGAGCTCCAGAGGTTGGCATCCTCATGATGGAATTAGCCTGGAAGAAGGGGTGCTACTGTTCTCCATCTACAAGCAACGCATCAGGAGAATGCATGGAGGAAAGGCTGAGGAAGCAACGGCAGTAAGGCCCTGGCTACAAGCCAGCTGGTGGGTCCTCCTCACCAGACACTGAGTCTGCTGGCACCTTGACCTTGGACAACCCAGTCTCCAGACAGAAGGCGATCAATTTCTGCTGTTTAAGCCATCCAGTCTGTGGTGTTTTTTTTTTAAATATAGCAGTCTGAATGAAGACAGCATCCAAACCACTTTGCACAAGGCCTGGAACAAGGCTGACCTTCAGAAGAGGTAAGTTCTTCCTCCATCAGAACTAAGAGTAGACAGAGCTGTCATAATTCATTTAGGTAAATCCCTTGAGGAGTTCTATAGACTAGGAGAAACTTACCTGCCCAGGTAAAATGAGAGATCAAAACACACAAGAAAATCAATTTCAACTGTTGAAGATGTTTTTCTACTCTACTTTTCAGTTTTATTAAAAAAAAGAGAGAGAACACGCTGTCCTGTAGACTGTCATTATTTGACGATGTAACATTTAATTACGGTAATGCAAGAACTAGGAAGTACCTCTCCCGCAACTTTTTCAGCTCCACGTCTCTTTCACCAATGAGTTCGGAAATACTGACGAAGTAGTTGTGCTCCAAGTTTAGGAGAGTTTCAGACGCGGGAGAATGGATGAGGTCATGGTACACATCTGCAAAGTCTTCATCCCAGCTGGGCTCCTCGGGCCTCGCGTGCTCTAGCGTGGTCTGCAAGATGGGACCAGACATTATTAAATCCTGATGCAGTGTTCTTCGTTAACACACTACTAGAAAAGTGAGTATACTAGGATTCCATTTCTATACATCGAAGGACAGAAAGGCCTGCCATATATGTGTTTATAGGTTACATAGGATTATCTGAGCATACACAAAAAAGCACAGAAAGATGTGAACTTAGTCGTCAATGTGGGCTACCTGGAGGCAGGGTAAGGGGAAGGTGTTAATGTGGAGCAAGGGATAGGAGTGTCCATAATTTGAAAAAAACAACAAAGAAAGGGTAATAAGTAAGCTAAGATCTAATTTCTGTAACAGACACACACATACACTTGAAGGGGCTGCTTGAAGCAGAGTGGGATTTCTAAGTACCTTACTTTGTATTCTCATGTGCCACGTAAGAGAATAACTTGCATATAGTAATTATATTATCAGAAAAAAAGCTTTTCATTATTAAAAATATATTGCTAAAAAAGGCTTTGTAGGCTATATATTTAGAGAATGAGCTTACCTATGCAATAACACTGCCCTTGATAACCCAATTCACATGTAGGATTTTATATCAAGATATACATGCAAAATTTTCTTACCTTGAAGTCAGGTGTTGTTTTCTTCATAAAATGTTAGACCCCTCAATTAAATGTATGAAAACAGCAGTTATCAAAACGATAAAGGGACTGCATAAACACTGATAAGCAAACAAACACAAAACCCAGAAACATGCAGCAGCAGCAAAGAGACACCCTGAGCGCACACACAGACACATCTGCGGAGGCAGACGCCTGCCCCAGACTGGCGCCATGACAACACATCAGACACACACAGTGCTCTGCCCGGAGGAAACGGACATGCTCAGAAGTCCCCTGCCAAAGGTCGTGCAATACAACGGCAAAAGTGGAAATTTCACAAAGATTTCAAAAATTTTTTCTATTTTTGATCTTTGCAGCCAGACACCTGTAAAAGAGAACAATCTAAATTCTTCCCTTTTCTTACCAAAGAAAATACCCCAAACGGGAATCTATGATAGGACTCAGAATAATAATTTCCCTTACATAAAACAAATGAATAAATCATGGAAACAGGTATTTTGAACTGGGACAATCAGGTAAAGTCTTGCCCTTGTACTTACACTTGGATCCACTCCAGTTCAGGAGGGGAGACTTATTAAGACAATCAGCCGAATGTAGAGGGTGGGTTTCATCTGCCCCATGCCCCTGCAAACCCAGACAGCACTCTAATAACTTCTCCGCATCCCTAGACCCGGCATCCCTCTAGCAATTATAACCAGTCCATGTGACTTAGGCTCTGTTCCAAATTCACTCCAGGCTTGGGCTGAAGTTTTGTAGGAAGGAGCCAAGGTCAAATCCTAGGGACCAGTTTGGCCATACATAACACCAGACATTCAGTAACCCCACAAGGTCAGATCAGCTTGTTATGTACCTTGCAAGCCTCAGTTTACAACTCATCTTGGAGTGATACTTGTGAATAGGGAGAAGCGTCCTAATACACGAGACATACCCAACAGAATTCTTACTCACCCTCAGTCAACTAGAACTCTGGTACACTTCCTCTCTGTCCCACATCCTGAGACCAGCCTGGGCCACCTGGATGTCCCGGTGGATTCACTAAGGCCCTGCCTTCCGGTGTCCCTCAACACTGTATTTTTAATAAGTTCTCCCCTTTGCCTGGCACCCATTCTATACACTCACTGGGAATAGCTTAGCCACTAAAATTCAAACACTCAGTCACTGATTACAAACTCCAACCAAAACTTCTCATTCAGTGGCTCTCAGGCAACTGGGAGCCTCACCAGGACCTCCACTTCACAATCTCCACTATCTGAGCTGCTGGCTCCCTCTCACTGCCCTTTCTTCCGGATAAAGCTTACAGTCAATCACTGTCTTGTCCACATCCTCCTCGCCCACCTAACAAAACCCCATCTTATTCCTCTAGCTCCACCTGCAGTCAGGCTCTGGGGAGTCGCAGCAGAAAAATCACAGAAGTCCAGAGTCTACGGAAGCAGACCGGTGCCAGTCCAACCCTTCCTAGCGATGCTGCCTGGCAACTCTGGCTTCTTCTGGTCAGTTCAGTCCTCAGACATCCAACCATCTCATCAGCCCCCCACTCCCCATCTAGACAAACAACCTCCTTTCCTATTTCTCAGATAAAGCAGAAGCAGTTAGGAGAGAATTATCTTCAACTTCCTGCTACCAAGTGAAGTTTTCTGAATTGATGTTTATATTTTCCTTCTTCCTCTCCACTATGATGGTAGCCACCTCCCTCCTCCCTGGAAAGATTGATCCTCCACTTGGGCTCTGGGTCTGAATCCTTTCGGCCTTTCTCTCTACGGTTAAACAACAAGTCTCTGATCCTGGGGGTCCCATTTTGCAAGTCTCACCCTCCTCTCTGCAGCCCAACTTCTTGAGTTGTCTAGACTCATTCCACTTCCACACTCCCACTCGTTCTTAAACTCACTGAAATCTAGTTTCTGCTCCCACCAATCTGCTGGAATTTATCTTGCCACAGATAAGACTTGATAAACCCAGTGGGTATTTCTGAGTCTTCTCTTTGCTTGATCGTCTCTGCAGCATTTGAACTTCAGACCAGTCCCTCCTTGGTTACCTCTTTTTTGGTCACCTTTTGTGAACCTATAAACTTTTTCTTCTTTGAAACTATAGTCTTTTATCTTCTTTCTGCTTCCTTGACCAGTTCCCCTCTCCTTTGCAGGGTTTTCTTCCTCAACTCATCTCTTAAGTGTTTGGATTTGTTTACTTACTTGTATATATTCATCCATACATCCATCTATCACAGACCAAACCCTGTTATTTGCAAGCTTGTTGCTGGATATATTGTTGTTTACTTACTAAGTTGTGTCTAACTCTATTGCGACCCCATGGACTGTGGCCCGCCAATCTCCTCTGTCCATGGGATTCTCCAGGCAAGAATACTGGAGTGGATTGCCATTTCCTTCTCCATAGGATCTTCCTGGCCCAGGGATTGAACCCAAGTCCCCTGCATTGGCAGGGGGAAGCTTTACCACTAAGCCACTGGGGAAGACTTCTGTGCTAGTTACTAGTTAATAAAAGAGAAGAAGGCAGACGCTTTCAGGTGGATATTCAGACAAGCCAGAGATACAGGCAGGTCAACAGACAATTATAATAAAGGATCTTGTCAAGATTATGTCCAGGTGTCTTCTCTTCTCAGTCTACAGTAACCCTGAGCCATTCCATTCAGCAACGAATAATTTCTTAACATAAGCATGCTCCATATATATGTGGGATATACTCATATGAAAAAATTCATTGTTTATCTGAAATTCTAGTTTATTTATTTATGTAGGGCCACACCACATAGCATGTGGGATCTTAGTTCCCCAACCAGGGATCAAACCCGTGATCCCCTGCATTGGAAGCACAGATTCTTAATCACTAGATCACCAGGGAAGTCCCTGAAACTCTAAGTTAAATGGGTGGGCTGTATTTTTAATGACTAAATCTGGCAACCCTATGCTGGGTAGAAATACAAAAGTAGCATCTTGTTTTACAAGAATATTACATGAAGCACTGTGTCCTGTGTGCTCACCTTGATAACAAGAAGGAAGCACATAAGCACCAATACAGGTTGCATATTATGGAATAAATCTCTGGACACAGAGAACAAAGGATTCTACAGCTGTTCCAGTATTACCTTAGCAAGTTAACTACCCTCATCATTCTGCTTCAGAAACAAACACACACACACATAGAAAAAGCGATCAGATGTGTGGTTACTTCAGGCTGGGGATGGAGGAAGTGGAAATGGGATGAAGGCAGTCAAAAGACACAAGCTTCTAGTTATAAGAAGTACTAGGCATGTAATGTGCGATGTGATAAATATAATGAACACTGCTGAATGGTACACATGAAAGTTAAGAGAACAAATCCTGAGCATCCTCAGCACAGGAGAAAACATTTAACTTTCTATTTCTTTAACTCTGCATCTGTATGAGATGATGGATGTTCAGTAAACTTGTTGTGATAAACATTCTGTGATGTATGTATGTCAAATCATCATGCTGTACACCTTAAACCCATGCAGTGTCATATGCCAACTACATGCCCAACATCTCAATAAAACTGCAAGAAAAAAAAAAACACATCAGAGTTCAGAATATCCTTGAAATTTACAATCTCATCTATTTTCGTACCTCGGCATAAGCTTTGGCCCATGTGCTTGCCAGATGATGCAGATCGACTTCACCTGACTTCACAGCTTCCAGGGCGGCTTCTGCCTCCCTGTCATAATCTCTGAGGGATTCTTCTTCGATAAACTGGCTCAGAGCTTCTTTTAAGTCTGTAACAGTGATAACAAATATCATCATCGGCAGACATAAATTGGGAACATTTTACCTGGCTAAGCATTTCAGTGTGAAACTCCTGTCAAGCATATACCCTTAAGAGCATGTCTAACTAAGATAATCAGCTTAGAGAATCATTCAACTAATTTCACACTTATTTTTCTTTATAACCACAGGTTACTGAATGGTCAAAATTCTTAACTCTTATGTAATATAACCCTGATACTAATTAAAAACATTAATCTCTTAAGTCTTCATCTGAAACTGAGTAGAGAAGAGCACATAAAGACCTTCTACAGATAGAGGGTATGAAGCTTCCTGTATTTAAATGAGTTTCCTATATAACTTTCAAGGATATACATTGTTGAGAGTGTGTGCTCAGTCACTTCAGTTGTGTCTGACTCTTTGCAATCCTATGGACTGTAGCCTGCCAGGCTTCTCTGTCCATGGGATTCTCCAGGCAAGAATACTGGGGTGGGTTGCCATGCCCTTCTCCAGGGGATCTTCCTGACCCAGGGATTGAACCTGCATCTCCTGTGTTTCCTGCATTGCAGGCAGATTCTTTACCCACTAAGCTACATGGGAAGGCCATATATTGTTACATTCTTCGAACCTAAAATAGAACTTGAGTGATCAGAATATTAAAACTGATTTATTTCAGATGATCTACAATTGCAACTTCAGAGACACTACTTAAAGGCTGCTTTGAGGATATGAGAAGACCATGGCTTTCATCTTGGGCACTTCCTTGCTCCCTCCCTCTCTCAGGTTGCTGGTCCTGGGGGAGACCAGCTGTAGGTGTGGAGGTGATCCTATGAAGAGGCCCACATGATAAGGCCTGACAACAGCCTCACAAGTGACCTTGGAGATGATCTTGTGCTAGTAGAGCCTTCAGATGAGACTCTGAAGTCCAGGCTGACAGTCTGGCTGGAATCCCATGAGAAATCCTGAGCCAGAGGCACCCATCTAAGTTGCAGCACTTGGATCCCTGAACCACAGTAATGGTAGCAAGATAATACACACTTGATGCTTAAAAAAAAAAAATTAAAGAGCACTGGGACAGAAACCAGGATACCCGTGCTCTGGTCTCGGTTCTGACACAACGTATGTAACTCTGGACCAGAGGGTCTCAGTTGTTAGGACGCATCAGAGTTCCCTGGGGGTTCACTGGAATAGACGCTGCATCCCAGTCCTAGAGTTTCTGATTCAAAGGGAATGCAGTGGAGCCCAAGAATACACACTTCAAAAAGGTTCCTAAGTGATGCTGCTTGGGTAACAATTTTCGAGAACTACTGCCTTGGGCAAACTATTTAACCTTTCTAGGTACCAGTTTCCTTATTTGTACGATGAGATTATGCTAAAAAGTTTCCACGTTCCCTTGAATCTCTGACCTTCTATGATCCAACATATTCTCAATTAAAACATTTTCCCTTCTCTGTAGACAGAATGTAGACCTTTTAAAATGGCATAATACAGATGACTCTATGGAACTAATTTAGATGAGCAAAGATAATTGAAAGATAGGTATCCCCTTCTCTTCCATGACATCTCAGAAACTGAGGACCAGATTGTTAAAAGGGCAAAACAATGAGCACATAACCAATGATAACCAACATGCCTTATAAATCCATCTAGCTACATGAAGAGGTTAGGAGTTCTAATCCAGACTCTGTCATTTTTCATCATATGTAATTAAATGTAATTTTTATACTAAAATGCCTAATAAACAACTACAAGAGATACAGAAAAAAAAATCCCATAGAAGAAAGATCTGGGGAACCTTTTTATTCTTGAAAGCTTCACATTTTGTGGTTGTTTCCAGTGCTTCTCAGGTTTATGCTATCCCGAAACTTCTCATGACAGAGACCAAAGGAAAATAACAAAGTGATATTTTCCGAAAATCAGTCCTCACCTTTTTCTATAAAGCATGGTAAGTTGTGCAGCAGCATCAGACGTCCATGTAAATGACTGGCATTCTCTTGAACAGGAAATTTGAGGGGTACCCTCAGTTCAAAGCACTGACTTCCAACTTTGAATTTATACACAAATTCCCTCTCTCGGTTGCAGAATCTTTTTCTGTTTTTCTTCATCTTTAGCAGGATTCTAGAAAACTAACAACAAAAAATTCAGCCGGTTATAAGTCCAAAAAAACTTACAATGTTTCATTATTGCTAAGCCACTTCTGGACTTCCCTATAGCTCAGATGGTAAAGAATCTGCTTGCAATGCAGGAGACCCGGGTTCAATCCCTGATCAGGAAGATCCCCTGGAGAAAGAAATGGCAATCCACACCAATATTCGTGCCTGGAGAATCCCATGGATAGAGGAGCCTGGTGGGCTACAGTCCTGCTGCTGCTGCTGCTAAGTCACATCAGTCGTGTCCGACTCTGTGAGACCCCATATACAGCAGCCCACCAGGCTCCCGTCCCTGGGATTCTCCAGGCAAGACCACTGGAGTGGGTTGCCATTTCCTTCTCCAATGCATGAAAGTGAAAAGTGAAAGTGAAGTCGCGCAGTCGTGTCCGACTCGTGGTGACCCCATGGACTGCAGCCCACCAGGCTCCTCCGTCCATGGAATTTTCCAGGCAAGAGTACTGGAGTGGAGTGCCATTGCCTTCTGTGCTACAGTCCATGGAGTCACAAAAAGCCACTTCTAAGATGGCTCCCCACTCAGAGATTTTACTTGTGTGACACTTAGCTAATTACTTTCCCCTACTTTTATCCCTTCATAAAAGTAGGGATGTTTTCATGATGAAAACAAAGTGCTTCTTTTTTAATGAAAAGTCTCTCTTCAACATCATATATGAAAAAAACTGCCCACTTAGCATTCCTAGGTACTGTGCTCAGTCGCTTAGTCATGTCTGACTCTGAAACCCCATGGACTACAGCCCACCACGCTCCTCTGTCCATGGGGTTTTCCCAGCAAGAATATGGAAGTGGGTTGCCAATCCCTTCTGCAAGGGATCTTCCTGACCCACGGATTGAACTTGATCGAACTGCAGGTGGATTCTTTAGCACTGAACCACCTGGGAAGCCAAGATTCCTAGGCAGAGTTCTAACAAATCGGTAAGGATCATGTAGAGAAGAACAGAGAGGATTCTTTGGAAGAGATGCACGGTAGCCAGATATAGTTCATGAAATAGTTGGTGAATATAAAGTCAAAGAAACAGATCAGGGATCGGGGCATCTTGAAGACCTTAGAGACTGTGGATCTAAGATCTGATTGAGGGGTGGAGGGAAGGGAGATGGTGTTGGAAAGATTTCTATATGAGGAGAAAATATACAGGACAGACCACAAAGCAAAGTGGACAACTGCTAGGAAAGAAGAAATCTAGTCAGAAAGAATACATCAATTGAAGATTTCCTTATTAGCCCCCAAACAGGAGGCCGATTCCTAAGCATTCCTCCATCAAATCAGCTTTCACACTATTCTCTACACTGAAGTCAGAGTAATCTTTTTCAAGTGCATATCTGGTCATGCTGATTATCTGCTTAAAATCCTTCTGATATTCCATTGCTTTTAGGATACAGTAAAAATTCCTTAACGATTTTTCGCCCCTGCTTATACCTCCAGACTCTTCTTTGGGGAGCTGAACCCCCCTCCTCTCCAACAGACAAACTGACAAACTTTATTTTCAGCCACACTGAACCTCTTTCCATACCAAACCTCTCTTTCCACTTCCAACCTTCCTGAATGTTTTTCCTTTGCCCAGAGCACGCTTACTGCTCTTCTTTCCTTGGCCATGTCTCAGTTTAGACATGCCCCAGGAAGCCTTTTAACTTGTAGGACTGTCTTCATGCTTAATCAAATAATAAATATGAAGCATCTGGTAAACAAAACATGATCAGTAAATGGAAGCTGGTAAAAATAATAATAAAAGAAAGAAGCTTTTATATAAGAACATACCAGTTTTTAAAAAAGGCTGCTAAGTACACATGAGGCAGACAGAGCCAGTAAAGGAACATTTTGCAGGGAACTGAAAATTAACTGAATATGGGCTCATGGTCTCATTTTGTTTACAGTCAATATTCTAGGAAACAAAAACCAATAGCTCTGGTTTCAGTTGATTCGGTCTTTAGAATTGTGTCTCAAAAAATTGATACTTTAGTTATTTCTCCCCGGTTTGTTATTACTGCCTGCGTGCCTGGGTGTGCTCAGCCGTGCTCCACTCTTTGCAACCCCAGGAAAGGTAACCGGCCAGCTCCTCTGTCCATGGGATTCTCCAGGCAAGAATACTGGAGTGGGTTGCCATTTCCTCCTCCAGGGGATCCTCCCCATCCAGGGGTCAATCCGGGTGAGCCACCCGGATTACCACTGAGCCACGTGGATCCTCCCGAGTGCTGAAATCAAGGAAGATTTCCATACAACAATGGGATGGGAAAAGGAGAGCTGGACCGAACTCAGTCAGCCAATAGAATGGAGGTTCGGAGGCTTGAGTGAGTCAGGGAAGGGAGGGCAGACTGTCGGGCCGAGAAGTCCCAGCCGAGTTAGGGGACCAGCCCCCCGACTCGAGGGTTCCGGCCCGAGGGAGCTTCCTTGCTCCGGTCACGAGCTCACCTCCTCTAGTTCCGAGTTCCCAGCTGTCCGCAGTACGGGTCCTGACCACCGGCCTTGGCCCTCGGCCCATCAGCTGTCTGCTGCCTTGTTTTTACAGTCGGAAGATCCGCTACGGCAGATTCTTCCAAGCATTTTCCTCTTTCCTGGCACCTCGTGGAAAATCCCTCGGTATAAATGTTCCCTTGTTCCATCCTACCTATTTTTAATCATTTAAAACGTGTCGGAAGGTGTATTTATACTAATATTGTGCATTCTGGAGACCGCGCAGAGACAACTCTCGTAACGAAAGTGAAGCGGCGAAATACAATCTCAGCTCTGGCAGACCGGATGCGGAAGGGCGGTGCTTGGGGAGGGCGTAAACTAACGCGCTCTTCTCAGAACGCATGTGCGGCAGCCGGAATGGCTGGCAAGGATTGGCGAGCCGCAGGATAGGCGGAACGCTCAGGGTTTGGTTTTGGGCGGGAATTGGAACGGCCGCGGCGGCTGCCTGCTAGGGCCTGAAAGCTGCAGGTTTCCAGCCTCGGAGGGGACCATGGTGCGGCCTGCGAGGTGAGTAGCTCATGGAATCAGGCAAGGGTAGGGAGGAAGGTCAGGAAGACGCTGTAGGCCGCGTTACCTGCACGGGATGGAGAGAAGGGCCCGAGGACCCAGGGTGGTGATAGTGGGACGAACAGGGAAACACTCCGGCCTCCAGTGAGAGCTCCCGCTCCTAGGAAGGGTCCTGTCAACCTAGCCGTTTCCTTCTCTTGGGCGTCCTTGACCGTTCCTGCCGTTTCTTTTACCCACCCCGTTCAACTAAGACCTGATTACGCTTTGCATTTTACTGAGCTCCTCAGTTCAATTCAGTGGCTCAGTCGTGTCCGACTCTTTGCGACCCCATGGATGGCATCACGCCAGGCCTCCCTGTCCATCACCAACTCCAGAGTTTACTCAGACTCAGGTCCATTGAGTCGCTGATGCCATCCAACCATCTCAGCCTCTGTCGTCCCCTTTTCCTCCTGCCCTCAATCTTTCCCAGCATCAGGGTCTTTTCAGATGAGTCAGTTCTTTGCATCAGATGGCCTGTTGATTCATTTGTTGGTCACTATACTTCTTTCGGATAGAAAGTTTAGGTCTTCTCATTTTATCAGTTTAAACCTCTGGACCTGAAAGTCAGTTTGCCTGAGTCATACAGCTATTAAGTTGTTGGGTAACAAGCAAATCTAAGCCAGCTGGCGCCAGATCCTCTGTGTTTTCCACCAAGTGCTGTTGAAAATTCTTCCTCTACTTTACCTCAGTCGAGCACCATGGAGACCTAGGGTCAGCCATTCATTTAGTAGAGTTTCGAATATACTTACTTCTGTGCTGGAAGTAGGTATTTACTAGGTATATATCCATATATTTATGTGCTGGAGGTTGCATTCTAACGGGCTGAAAATAAACATGGCAGTATGAGAGAGTGAGAGGAAGGAAAGCCTTATTTTAATTTTCATTAAAAACTTTTTTGAAGTGTAGTTATCTATAATCTTGTGTCTCTGGTGTACTGCAAAGTGATTCAGTTTATATATATGTTTTATGTATATAAAACATATCTGTGTATACACACACATACACATATGTATTCTTTTCCATTATGGTTTATTACAAGATACTGAATATAGTTCCCTGGGTTGTATAAGCTTTTTGCCTATCTGTTTTGTATATAATAGTTTGTATGTGCTAATCCCGAACTCCTAATTTATCCCTCCCACCACCTTTCCCATTTGGTAATCCGAAGTTTGTTTTCCATGTCTCTGAGGCTGTTTCTCAGACTCATCATGTTTTAAATGTCTATTGCATGGTGAGCCATGGAGAAGGAAATGGCAACCCACTCCAGTATTCTTGTCTGGAGAATCCTGTGGATGGCGGAGCCTGGTGGGCTGCTGTCCATAGGGTCGCACAGAGTTGGACACGACTGAAGTGACTTAGCATGCATGCATTGGAGAAGGAAATGGCAACCCACCCCAGCATTCTTGCCTGGAGAATTCCAGGGACAGAGGAGCCTGGTGGGCTGCCGTCTATGGGGTCACACAGAGTCGGACACAATTGAAGCACCTTAGTAGCAGCAGCAGCAGCAGCATAGTAAGCATGAATTAACATTGGAAGAGATAAAAGAAAATGGCTTTCAGTATCAAGAAGTTGATAATTTAATACATCAGAATTCACATATAAAACAAAAGAATACATACAACAAGAACTTCTAAATGCCCAATGGCAATTAAACAGTGTATAAACTTTGTGTTAATTATATTGATTATTCCTACTTTATTATCTGAATTAACTTTTTTCCTTATCAAATATAACAATGTTATATCTTTGCATAAAATGCAAATCATGTTTTTAATTTACATGTGCTTAAGTGAATCCAAACATTTTTATTTACTCAAGAGTATTAATGGCCTTAAAAAATGGAGGTGAGAAATTGACATTTGTATAAATAAAATTTCTGTCTTGGTCACAGGCATAAGAAGCCAGTCAATTACTCCCAGTTTGAGGATTCTGATAGTGATGGTAAGTAGCGTATCTTATTTCTTCGTTAAAGATTTGATAATTTATTTCCTTGGTTTATAGGATATAATGTGTATGTGGGGTGTGTATGTGTATGGCTAAGACATGGTTGTACCAATTGCATATAAGGAAGGTCTGGAGAAATAATTTTCTTAGCATTTAGGATAATTATGTTGATCACTACACTGACAAGAATTATTATTGGCATAAATCATAACCACACAGGGCCAGGAGAAATGATTTTTCAGGTCTGAACTACTCTAGATCCAGGGTCCCCCTATCTTTCAGAGATGCAGATGTGTCGCAGAATATAATGTAAAATCCCCATTGATGACAGAGTAGAGCAAGCCCCTGAGGAAGCTCAGGCTTAAGCTTTACCCTATTGTGTTATATATGTACTTGTCTTTGCTATTAAGAGAACTTTGGTCAAGAACTTTGAGAAACATGGTGTTAGGTTACATTATACTTCAAAGTAAGTTTTGTGTTTCTTTCTTAGACCTCTGGAGTTTTCTGGGAGTCAGATGTTTAGTAATCCCTTGGTTTGAAGGAATCTGTTTTTGCCTGGAACCCAGTCTTAGATGTGTCTAAGACTTGGAAGAGAAGAGTATAGAACATGACTTTCTAGCTTTTTACTCGTGTCATCAGTCTGTTGCAAAATAGGTATAAACTGCTGGTTGTATTCTGGAAACTGGTGTGGAGGTGGGGGAAAAGTCACAGATTATTGTATTTCTATATGGAGAAGCATAAAACACTTGTCAATAAATGGGAAGGTCCATGAATCAGACTGTGAGTACCTCGAAGGTATGCATACATGTCATGTATGCATTTGAAAGTTAGAGCAGCGGTTTTATGTTGAGTGTCAACAGAAGAACCACCTCAGTTCTGAGGATGCTAGAACAGAAAAACCCATGCAAACAGAATGGACTGGAAAACAACATCCCTTTGCCAAAAATAAAGTTACTGTGGTGGGATCGTAGGAGGGCTCTTAAGATGATGATACCACTGTAAAGGCTGCTACTGTAAAGTCCTAAGTAGGAGCTACTTTCTCTTCCTCCAGGTTCTGATTGCGTCTTACTTTACTTAGCTTGGTTGTTGTTTTAGGAAAGGTAATGAGGATGAGATGGTTGGATGGCATCACCAACTTGATAGACATGAGTTTGAGCAAGCTCTGGGAGTTGGTGATGGACGGGGAAGCCTGGTGTGCTGCAGTCCACAGGGTTGCAAGGAGTCAGACACGACTGAGTGACTGAACTGTACTGAATGGGTCTTTGAAAGAAAGTATTTGGCTGCATTATGAAATTTCCATAAAAATAATTTTCTTCAACTTGTCGATATGATAAAATTATACAGGGAATTTTATTGATTTTTCTAATGGTTTCAGAGGTTTTTAACTAATCATTTTTTTCTTTGCCACTTACATAATGCTAGCTTAGTGGCCCTTGTAGTTTTTCAGGGAGTTAGTTTTTGACAGATGGATTTTTTCTTTTTTTAAAAAAGTCACTAAAACAAAGTGAAAAGCTCGAGTGAAAATAAAGACAGTATACCAACTGTATTTTTTAGATTATGGAAAACAAACAGTTTGCTTATCTTTAAAACTTGAACACACATAGTAATGACTCTCAACTACCAAGAAAGTAAGTTTACCTTATTTTTTCCTTAGGAAAAGCAATTTCATATATTCTTTTATTTTTAACTTTTGCATAAATAGATGATTTTGTTCCTGCAACCGCACCATCAAATAAGAAATCCAGAATAACACAAAAAGAGTTGAAACTAGAAAAACCAGAACCTAAGCTGAAGAATCTCCAGGAAAAAGACATCCCACTACAAGAGAAACCCCCTAAAAAAAGGTGAGAGGTAAGACATACAGTGAATATATGACATTAGATATGTTAATCTAAAAGAGATAAATTCAAACTCTTGGTCTAAATTAGAACTTGAGCAGAATCATAGGTCTTATTTAATTCATATAGGAGAACAGGAATATACCACTAATCCCCTCTGGCTTTCTGAACTGCTTTAGGTTCATGAATGCATAGGGAAGTAACCATTTAAGTCATAATCACCAAGTTTACAAGGTATATCTTGCCCTTACAAGGAGACCTTGCACCTGGCTCTGAACTCCTCAGGTCTTACAAGGCTACCTTGTTTAAAGTTATATCTGTCAGGACAGTTTATAAAATTCAAAGCCACATTTCTCAATGAGATGATGGATGTTCCCTAAACTTGTCATCATTTGATGATGTATATGAGCCGCATCATTGTGCCGCACACCTGAAACTTACGCAGTGCTGGATGTTAATTGTAGGTAGCTCAGGAAAACCAGGGAAAAAAAAGTGAAACCGTATATTTCTCTACAGATAAAAAATATTTTCACTTTATGTTACTGAGTTTTGTCCAGCAGTGAGAAGGACCTGTAGTTTCAAACTAATCTTGGAGTTCCATTAGGTAGTACTTGGAGGCAGTTGGGGAGATGGAGGGGAGGAATCCCTGAGAGGCCCCAGACTTGCAGTGTGGAGAGGAGGTGGCTGAGGAGGGATTCTGACAAGTGGAACATGGCACATGTGATGGTTCACCGCTCCAGTAGCATGAGGAAACTTCCTTAACAGAGAGAAACTTACCCCACATCATTCTCTTCACTTTTGATTCTTTGTTTTTGAGCTTCTTGTACTATCTTTAAAATACAGTTTAAAAACAACCAATGGATGGGAAAAAAGATTTGCAAATCATATGATCCATTAGGGACTTGCATCTAGAATACATAGGGAACTCTTACAACCCAACACTACAAAGGATCATGACCCAATTTAGAAATGGGCCAAGGACTTGAATAGACATTTCTTTAAGGAATATATACAAATGGCCAATAAACACATGAAAAGATGCTCACCTTCCACAGCCATCAGGGAAATAAATACAAATCTAAACCCCAGTGAGATCATATGACACACCCACAGGAATGGCTGGAAGCAGAAAGACAGATAGTAGCAAGTGTCGAGGAGGATGTGGAGAAATGGAAACCCTCATGCATTGCTGCTGGGAACATAAAATGGTGCACCCTCATTGGAAAACAGAGTAGCAGTGTCCCGAAGTGTAGAGTTATTATACGACCCAGCTAGGTATATGCCCAAGAGAAATAAAACTCTGCCCACACAAAAACCTATACCCAGATATTCATAGGAGCACTAATCATAAGAGCCAAAAATAAAATGTCAGTAACCCAAATGCCTGTCGATTAATGACTGGATAAATAAAATGCAGTATACCCACACAGTGGAACCTTATTCAGCAATGAAAATAAATGAAGTCCTGATACATGCCGCAACATGGACGGACCTTGAGGACATCATGGTGAGCCAAAGAAGCCAAGCACAAAAGGCCACATTTTATGTGATTCTGTTAATATTAACATGGAAAACCTGGAACAGACAAGTCCATGGAAACAGCCCGTAGATTAGCGCTTGCCAGATGCTGGGGAGGGAGAATGGGGGCTGACAGCTAGTGGGTATGGAGTTTCTTTCTGGGATGATGAAAATGTTCTGAAGTTAATAGTGGTGGTAGCTTCACAGCTCTCTGAATATACTAAAAACTGCTGAATTGTAGGCTTCAAAGGCTGCATTTTACACTGCATGACTTATATCTCAATAAAACTTATTATTTTAAAAAATACTAAATCCTTCAAGGTACATCTCAGCATCTCCTTTATGTAACCTTTTCTGTCTGTCTTTTTACATTCCCTTCTTAAACAGTGGAGCACTCTTGACCACCTTGAACAGGAGGCATGATGATCTGTTTACATGGGATAATTATTCCAGGACTTTCTTTCCTACCTCCTCATTAACTGCAGACTCTGAGGGCACTTCTAGTGTCCTGTCTCATGCAGTGCCTCACACAGAGTAAGTGCTTACTGAGATACTTGTCAGAATCCAGATTGGGCAGAGAAGATGTTAAAAATATATATATATACACACACACATATATATAGAGAGAGAGAAAGAGAGAGAGTAATTTCAGTTGAATATAGAAGCTGTAATAGCTGCCTAAGGAGGTGTGGCTGAGATCACGGAAGATTCCTAAGCAGAAGTGATGTTTGACTCACGTCTGCTCTCACTTGGGCAGGTGCTTCGCACCTGGACAGGGCTGGTGGTGAGGAAGAGACGCCACAATGACAGGGACACCGTCACCCACTGCCCCTGTCTATTCTGTTCTGGTGGGTCCAACATGACACTTAAGTTTAAGGAGGTGGAATGTTAAAGTCCGTTATGATAATGATCATTGTGTAAAAAACATCTTCCTGAGGTTGGAAACTCTCAGCTAACCTCTCTCAAGGTTTGCTGTTTAGTTGAGACTGATAGTTTAAAAGCTCATTAGTATTTATGTGTGTTTTAGGATGGCTTTGGACGACAAACTCTACCAGAGAGACCTAGAGGTCGCACTGGCTTTGTCGGTGAAAGAGGTTCCAGCCATCACCATTGATGTGGAGCAGTCTCAAGGCAAGTGTAACTTTATCTTCTGTAATTATCTTTGAACCCTTCTTACCCCTTTTGTAATCAATTCTTTGGATGAGCTTGTACAGGGGGAAGGATGTACTGTTAATACTTTGGACTATAAAATGAGCAGTTTGCAGAGGGTACTGCTGGATTAGTTGCTTATTCCATTACATAACTCTCATCCACACACAAATATCTCTCTGCCTAACACTCAGGGTCCACTTGAGGACATGGACTGTGACCCTGGATCCAAAGTTCGTCTTCGTACACAGTGAAAATTTCTTGGTCAAATAAATTGACCTCTACATCCTAATGGCCCACTTCCTTTCTCTCCAAATTGCAATTAGTTAAGCATCATCTAATATCTTTATTTATTCAGAAAGGTAAAAGTACTAATTTGGTGAGCAAGCTCAGTAGACTTAATAGGTTTATGACTGCTGACTTTTTCTGTGGATTTTTCTTCTTTGATTTTTCTGGCAACTAGGAAGCAGATGGCAATATTGATATCCTGGAGAGACAGAAATCATATTCTTGGAAAAAACATTCATGTTGCTAAAATGCTTTCTGGATTAAACTGCTTTGGCCTAACTTCTTTTTTGTTGGAGGTTATTTTAAACACATTCCCTTATTTAAAGGGTAAAGATGTTTAAGTCAATACTGCCTGCTGTTTGACAATCAGTGAGATAGTTTTGATTAGAGGGGCCTTTATCAAAGAAACTTAAGAGAATTATCTTACACCTAAAATTGAGAAAATGACAATCTCTTTCCTATAAAGGATTGTGACATGTGTAACAGGATTTCCTTCTCTGAGAGTCATGTATTCCATAGCATTAGGATCAATACTCTAGATCATTTTAAAGTTATAATAATGATTGAAGAGTATTTACGTTAGTAAAAGCACAGATCTGCCTACACAGGGATGATGGTTAACATTTATGAACTGTTTCCTATGTTCTGGGCACCACAATAAGTAGTTTCCACATTCAGCCAACATCTAATTCCCCACAGGAGCCTCATTTAATCCCCACCCTGTTTCTATGTCTCATTATGGATGAGGAAATTAAGTCTTGTAAAGGATAAGCAGCCTCCCCCTGGTATGTAGCTAATTTAAGAGCCTGAATTTGAACTTAGGTCCCATTAAAGTTTGCGTGATTTCAGAGCCGAAAGTCCTAATCTTAGAGTAGTTTTGCCAAGTCGAATCAGTGTGTTAGTTTGAGTTTGGTTCATGTGTCTGTATCTAAATGCTATCAGATTTTAGCGCTTCTCTTCCTGCTTCTAGCCCCTGGTTGATTAGGGTGCATCTGCATGTTCCTTCTTCCTGATATCCAGGCTTTGACAAACATAGCAAGAGGAAAACAGAAGCAACGAGTAAGTCTCCTCGTGTCTCCAACTGCAGTGTAGCCAGTGATTATTTAGGTAAGTTTTTTATACTAATAATATTTATTTTTTACATCATCATTTTTCTAACTCTTACTTAAATTCTTGAACTAAAACTAGAACCAAGGTCTTCACATTTGTGAAGTTTCTCTTTACCTCTTCGTCTCTTTCTGTATTCAGTCTTTCACTGCAGACCTGGTTTCTTCCCTGGTGTAAGGTCATGACTGCCCCTGACTTCTAGTTGACAGCAGTTGAACCCTGAAGAAAGGGGCTGCATCTTCCCAGTTCAGCTTGAAAACTTTTGGGGAAAGACTCTCAATTTGGGTCTTGGACTTATGCTTAACTCAGACTGCTGCCAGGAGACTGATGTACTGTATTGACCAGACTGGGCTCTGTGATCTGTTACTGGAAGCACAGGAAGGACGCAGCTGGGCAGATTTTTTAGAAAAGCAAGTGTAACGAAAGTCTACTTTGCAATTCGTTAGATGATGATGTTGTTTAGTCGCTCAGATGTGTCTGACTCTGCAACCCTGTGGACTAGACCCCACCAGACTCCTCCGTCTCTGGGATTCTCCAGGCAAGAATACTGGAGTGGTTAGCTATTCCCTTCTCCAGCGGATCTTCCTGACCCAGGGATCAAACCCAGGTCTCCTGCATTGGCACGTGGATTCTTTACCACTGAGCCACCTGGGAAGCCCCTCTTTAGATGTTACCTGGCACAAAAACTTTCATTTTTTTTTTTAAAATGTCCTGAAGATCTAGATAAAATCACTGAGGAGGATGATTCTCAGGGCACTCCACAGAGAAGGAAGGCAGCCTCCCAAGCCGTGGTCCAGCAGAGGAAGATTCTCTTGGAAAACAGTGATGATGATGGAGCTGACGACTCTGAGCCAGACTTTGCAGCTGGTAGGTTATGTCTTCACTCAAGCTCCACTCTATGGAGAGTCAGTCAGAAGTTCCCGGAGACTCCTGCTGTGTGCAGAACACTGCTGAGCGTTGGCTGTGCAAATTTGAGGAACACAGGACAGTTAAATTCAGCTATGCTTTTGGCGGAAAAGCTTTATCCGGAGGTGAACTTTAAGCTGTGCCTTGAAAAATGAGTAGCATTTAGGGGTGAAATAGCACTTCTGACTGATGGAAAGGCTTAGACCACAGACCACAGAACAGGCAAGTACATACACAAGAGCTCAGTGACATTAGAGATTTCTCAAAGAAGTAAAAATGGAACTGCCTTACAATCCAGCAGTTCCACTCCTAGGTATTTATCTGAAGAAAACAGGAACAGTGATGAGAAAAGATATATGCCCGCTGCATTCACTGCAGCGTTATTTACAATAGCCACGACACGGAAGCAACCTAGGGGCTCGTCAGTAGATGAAGGGATAAAGGAGATGTGGTACATATGTATGTTTGTATGTATGTATATTGGGGTTGTTCGTCCACATTTATTCAGCACATATTTGGGTTTCTATTTTGGATGCTGTGTTCTTGACACTAGAGCTTACCTTTGAGGGTGGGGACACAGACAGAAAACCAAGAGCTGAGGTGTCAAGTGTTGATGGTTTATGTACTAGTAGATACTTAAGAATTCATAGATTCCCAGAAGTATCCTTTGTCTTCTTGCCTCACTTGTGGACCAGAAAGACTGTCTCTTTTCCAGTTCTCTGAGAGCTGGTTTGGTTTTCCTCGCTGCATTGTTACAGCCCCCCCAAACTCATGTGTGGCTGTGCTTTCCATCAAACGCCGCGCGGTCCCGCCCCAAGAACAAGCCTTTTGGCCTCCGGGGGCAGCTTGTCGGGGGGAGGTGGTGACCACCCTCCAGCCTATGTTGTGGATGCCTCACGCACAGTCTCCCTCCTCCCAGCCTCCTGACTCCTTCTGAGTCCCCCACCCCAAGAGAGCGCAAGTCCACGCTGTCCTGTGGGTCCGGAATCCCCTTTGGATCCCCATCCAAGCCTGCTTTACCTGCCATGGAAGGACACCCGTGTTCCCTGTCTTGCTCGGTGTACTTCAAGGAGCGGTACAGCCAGTTTATTTTCTTCTGCCCTAAGCTGAGAATGGCTCCCTCTCCTATCCCCTCAGTTGATGGTTTATTATACTTGAATGTGCTGCTGGAATCATCTCAGACAGCTCGCATTATCTGGAGCAGGGTCCCTTCTTTAAGTGACACTTCAGAATTTCCCCCTGCATCGGCTCACCCTAGATGAGAGAAAGCACCTTTTGTGACCTTCAGTAGGGAAAGAAAAGTGAAAAGGGGAGAATCAAGGCTTCTCCTAAGGACATATAAAGCTCTCCCAAATCCATAACCCAGTGTCTGGGTTTTTAGATTGCCCAGGAGGAGATGCTGATGCTTGGGATTCTGGGTGTCCTGTCGCTGCCCCTCCAGTTTATGTACATAGAGTCCTAGCCTGGCCTATAGTCTGTCCCCTCAAGCCAAAAGAGAATACGTAAAATGCCGTGGCTGTTGAGCTTACAGGAAGCCATGCCTCCTGGACTCTGTTCTGAAATTCTAGAGAAGCTTCTCCACCACCTGCCTTCCCAAATCCAGATCCTCTTGGGAGTCCAGAAATAATTACTTGATTTTGCCAGGTGCTATTTATATTGATAGCAGCCTTCATGCAATCTGCTGGCCTTATATAGTAATTCTGTATAACCTGGTAACTGTTATGTGAATACGTGGGTTGATCATCTGTTTTTAAAATTGTGTTAGTGTGGGAAGAATGACAGATAAGGACATCACAGTTTGAGATCATAATGACATAGTTGATTTAGGCAGAGGCCATCAGCGAGAGGTTGATGAGCATCTTTACAACGGGGATTCAAGCCAGGCATCCGCTGACCCCACTGGGAGCCGGGCAGCCACACGTTCTGTGCTCTCAGACACGAGTGACACCGTAGGCCGAGCAGAGCATCACCTAGGAAGTGTGTTTATTACCTGTAATAACTCAGTCTGCACAAGAGCCCCGTGGTGGAGGCAGTAGGGTCCTCCCCATCTTATCCATGGGAAACTGAGGCACAGTGATGTCAGGGGCCTGTCTGAGGTCAAGGACACGTAAGTGAGGGGCCCGGATGCACACCCAGGCACTGTGCCTTGTTCGGCCCCTGGAGACGGCATGACACTAGGGGGACGGGGATTGTGTGCAGAAGGTGACACTGGGGCCCCGGAAGCCCCGCGTCTTCCAGCAGAGGTGAGCAGGGGTGTGATCTGTTTCAGGTGAAGACTCTGAGGGTGACTCTGATTTTAGTGGGAGTGAAGACGATGAAAGCTTCACCGTGAGAAAAAGTAAAGTTAAAGAAACCAAACGGAAAGAAGTAAAGGTGAAACCTCCAGCCGAAAAGAAGGCGAAGCCTAAACCCAAGCGTGGTGCTGGGGGTAAGCCAGTCCCTCACACGTCCTTCACGCCGGACACAGGCCTGCTTTCCCTAGAGTGCTTCCCCACTCTGCCCTTAGTCTCCCTAACTGTGGGGTGTTCCTTTCTTGTCACAGCCCGGGGAGGACTGCAGGCCACGGCAGGGCGGGCAGAAGGCTGAGGGGGCCCTGAGCAGCTCCTGTCCCCTGCATCTCACAGCCACAAAACTGAGGCTCTCAGAGGTCAGACCACGGGTTGGATTCTTACGGCTAAGCGATGGCTGGAACTAGCCCCCAGCTTTCTCCATGCAGGGCCTGGATCCGTCCATTAGACACATTTTCTCCAAGCGATTGAACGGGGAGGAGGCGCATCTCATTTGCCGCTGTCGCACATGACCGGTGTTGAAGGGGAGAACCCTCCTGTCTGTGTTTAGGGCCCTTTGGTTTCTTTAGAAGGATTTAGTTAGAAGAAACCAGTTTTACAAGACAGCTTCTGAAACTAGTGATGACCTGAACGTGGAATAGTTGTTTCTTGTGTGAAAGAAGTTGGGATGTTTGTGAGTTCATAATACATTAATAGATTACTGTAAAGTATAACTTCCTTAAACCTGATTTGTTTTTCTTACTGATAGAGTTTTTACGTCTCAGTTGTTTAATATATGTATAGTATTTGAAACTATTGTTCAGACCCCATTGCTAAGGATGGCCTTTGTCTCACCTCTCCTTGAACAGATCAGTGCTGAGTACTGGTGCCGAGTACTACTGAGAAATGAGAACTAAGTATTAATAGAGTCCCGTAATTTTTCCCTTGGTAGAGAAAATTGTAAGAGCTGAGGTAGCCAATACAGTAGCCACTAGCCAAAGTAGTTCCATCACATTTAAGTTATTAAAATTAAGTACAGTTTGAAAGTCAGTTTCTTGGCTTTGCTGCCACATTCCAAGTGCCCACCTGACTGTGGCTTGTGGCTCCCAACGTGTTGGACAGCACAAGATACCGGACATCCCCATCGTGGCAGCGAAGCCTGAGGGGCCGTGCTGACTGCAGGAGTGCAGACGGTAACAGGAGGAGGAGTACATGTGAAGGTGTTCACGTCCACGGGCACCCAGATGCTGCTGAGGTGTCTCGAAGCAAGCGTTATCTGAAAGAGACTTTGTATCCTACTTCTTCTCCCGCCATCAAAAACAAACCCAAACCCACTCCCATTCTGTATTCCTTCTCAGACAGTGTGTCCATGACGGGAATTTGCGAGTCCTGATTATTCCCCTGTCTCCAGCACCCTCCTCCTTTCTAATGACTGAAAGCTCTCCACTCTGCTGTTTTCCGCACTTTCTCCCGCTTCATTCATTCCCGATTCGTTCCCGATCCCCTCTCACCTGGGCCACCACGGAGCCACCTAGGTGCTCTGCCTTTACACTGCTCTTGGTGAGATGCTTCTAAACGTACAGATCCATGCAGCTTGTAAGTTCCCCCAGGCCCACCTCTAGGTTCTGTCATCTCTCTTACCACACTGCAGTGTACATATCTCTTTACTTTTCTGCTGTTTCTACCAGAGTCTAGTGAGGGGACCATACATTCCCTGGGAATAGGATACTCTGAGACCCAGGAGCCTGATACATTCAATACTTCATGACACATTGTGACCGGACACTGTTGTGTGAGTAACAAGTGTGGACTCTAGACTCAGACGTGGTTTCCACTTCCGGCTCAGATGCTTACTAGCTCTCAGACTACAGGCCGACTGTCTAATCTCTCTGTTTCCTTAACTGACAGTGGGGAGAGTCATTTCTGTATTGGAGCTGCCCTCAGGGTTAAAGGTAGTGTTAAAGGATATACTTACCATACTTCCTAGCATAGAAGTGCTCAGAAAGGATGGCTGTTCCTACGCCCTCTATAAATGTTGATTAATGAGAGTTTTCTGGATTTACGACTCTGCTTCTTTAATTTCTATAAGCTGATGGAACTGTATAATTTTCACACATGCATGCTAGACTTCATTCTTGCTCTGTGACCCCTGTTTTATGTATATTTTCAAACAAGTGACTTCAGTAGACTGCACTCCAGCTGCCGTCAAGTCAGAATCTCGGTCCTCACCAAGAAAGGGTTCTGTCTCTTCAGAGGCCAGTAGGATGCCTTCACAGATACTCAGTCCTGCAGCAGAAAGCACGAGACCTAAGTGGGTCCCACCAGGTATGTGCAGTGTTCTTATTTACTACTCAAGGGCAGGGACTTGGAAAATTGCCACAGGTAGTTATATTTTTCTTGTAAATGTTATGAATGAGCACTTCCTCATATTATTACACAGTCTTCAAAACTAAGGTTTTTAATTGCTGCATTTATTCATCACTGTTATTCCCTTATATTTGAGCATCCAAGTTGTTTATTATTTCTTCGTGGTGATAAATAAGGTTGCAATTAGCATAGACACCCTTATTTTAGAAATCTGAGCACATCCCTGGCTATTTCCTAGGATAAATTCCTAGTAGTAGAATTACAGTGAGAGAGTACCAGCATTTAAGATTCCTGATACATATGAATGAATGTTTGTTGACAAATCTCTTTGCTCAAGACCTGCTGACCCCTGCAGTGTGGCAGAAACCTCAGGAATTCCAGCATTTAGCAAACTTGACCTTCAACGGTTACACGCTCGGCTTCTCTTTGTTTTCTTTTGCTCCACAGCCCAGTTTCATGATCCTTTATGCTTCTTGACATCCCTAAAACCCTAGTCCAGGCCCTGCTCATTTCACACCCAGACTGGTGGTGACTTCCTGCCAGTCCCTCTCCACTTCCCCTCATCCGGCCCAGGAGTCCTCTGTAGTGGAGCAGCTGCGTTGTTCCTTCAGCACCCTGTGTGTGCACTTCTGTCCAGCTTCCTCCCTCTGGGATGGCTTTCTTCACGTGTCTACTCTCCTTTGCTGAGTCATTCCAAGTCTCCTGGGGTTTCCAATCCTCCTTCTCCATGATGTCCTTTGGCTGGTCCACAGTGGTCACTCCCCTAAGGATGACTGACTATTCACAGATGGATGTGGGCCTGAGACTCCATGGTTGCTTCATTTCTCTGTGGCCTCATTTCATCATCTGAAATGGGTTATCACATCATCATCATTATCACAGTGGCAGGCACTGTGTAATCTTTAAAGTTTACAGGTTTCAAAATTTTAAGATTTTAGGGAGGACTTAAAAAGTTTTTGGAGAAGGAAAGGAGAAAGATTATTTACTGAAATAATGATGCTGTTTCAGTTCAAGGGTACTTCTTAAGTCTGTTTCTTCTGAGAATGGTGATTCCTCAACAAAAGAAATTTTAAAGAATTGATATAATGAGTTACAGAAGTTTGAAGGCAGCATAAGCCAAAAGATGAGATAACAGAGTGATGGCTGAAGAGTCGTCATCATAAAACACAGAGTGCTTGCAGACTCATTGTGTGGACGGCGGGGCGGGTCAGGTGCTGGCCGCGAGGGCCCGGGGCCAGGAGCAGGCTTCAGTGAGCAGGCGTCGTGCCCTTTGTAAGGAGGCCGCGCTGCCCTGCTCCCCTTGCCTGTTCACACGCAGGACGATGGGCCATGTATTTCCATGTCTTGAGCTTTTCAAGAGAAGCCAGGAATCCACATTTCAGTGGGAAATCTACTAGTTCGTAAAAATGAACTTAAAAGTCGACCAATCATACCTGGGAGCAGGATTTGACTATCAGATGGCCAGCTGGTCTCCTGTCTTACACAAACTTGAGAAGACCAGCGAGTCTCCAGTGGGAAAATGAGCCAAGGACATAAACGTACCGCTGCCCCCAAGAAATACCACCAGAAACAAATATGAAAAGAGTGGCAATCTCAGTGGTAATTAAGGAAACATAAAATGATAAAATACAATTTTATACCTCTCAAGCTAGAAAATAATAAAACTGTCAACCAGTGCATCTGGGTTGTGGGGTAGCAGGTGTAATTATTATAAATTTGTAATCCTTTTATAGGACAGCTTAACAGGAACCATAAAAATAAACTTGTCTTTTGATTTCAGAGCTACTTTTGGGAATTTATTCTTACAAAGAATTCAAAAGAAGAAAAAGTAATAAGTTGTCAGTTTTTTTATAACCATTTATAGAAAAGTGGTGAAAAATTAGAAACAACCCAAAAGTTTTTTGTAGGAATTTTATCAATATATGACACATACATGCAATTAAGAATAATAAATCAGATGGCTAGACTCATGGAAATGTTTATAAAACCTTTGTATGAAAAAATTATACACAGTTGTACTTTTTATGGTTATACTCCGTATCAACTACAAACGTATATGTGGATAAATTCTGAAATTTAATACTCTATGGAAATAATCGGTCCATTAGTGTGATAGCATAAATGAAATGTGTAAATAAAGAAAAATGGTACTTATCAAAGTTATTTACTGTTTGAAAAATAGACTCTTTAAGGAGTATTTGTAAAAGTTACAGAATTTTTTAAAATGTATTAGATTTGCTACTACTTTAGAAATTATAATTACATTTTTTTAAATGCCTTTACAGTCAGTGTTCTTTGCTCTCAACTTTCCTATTTAGTTTTCACGTTTAAAGTTGTGGTGTCATTACACTGGCCTCTGGGGATGTTTGCTATCCGACATGCTTTCTGCTCTCTAGTACTTCCCACTCTTTTGCTTGAACTTGATAGAACCTATGTAGGACAAGGAAATGGCAATGCACTCTAGTACTCTTTCCTGGAAAGTCCCATGGGAGGAGCCTGGTAGGCTACAGTCCATGGGGTCGTAAAGAGTCGGACTCGACTGAGCAACTTTACTTACTTCTGCTGGCCTCTCCTGTTTCATAGACTGATCTTTGTGAAGAGATGTCTGACATGCTCAGCATCAGGTGACATGTTTCCTTGCAGCCATGTCCGGAAGCAGCAGCCGTAGCCCCCTGGCAGGAGTGGCCGTGAAATCTCCGAGTCAGAGCCTCCGCCTCGGCCTGTCCCGCTTAGCACGGGTTAAACCTCTGCATCCAAACTCCACCAGTAGCTGCGTGTAGCCACAGGAGGATATTTGATTAAGAAGCTCTCATTCATATAAGTGGGTTTATATTTGAGGAGGGAATTGTAATATAAAGGAATCCTTCAATGTCATGTAAATTACCTGTACCTGTTTTGTGACTATTCTCTGCAAAGCTTCCTGAGACTTCAGCAAGAGTTTTGTTTATGTGAATTCTCTTGGAATGTCCTTTCCTTCTGAAGAGCATATTCTCCCCCCTCAGTGGATATAAGCGGTCACTGTCATCACTGTGTCAGTGTGACACGGAGGAGGTCCATGTTACTCGCTGCTCATTGCCAGTAACAGGATGCTGCTTCCTGCCTTTGTCGAGTTGATGGTACCTGAACGTCGTGTGCAGAGTTTATCTCGAAAGAGGAAGATTCCCACTTCTCCCAGGGATGTTTCTACACTGACAACTACTGTCAGTTTTATTGCCACGATGTTTCATACTTTAGCCAAATATTTTTATAATAAGAATTCAGAATTATTTTCCACATTAAAGCAGTTGCTGTACTATAGTGTATGTCTCCTACCTAGAAGTATTAATAGATGGTTATGTTATAGCAAATAAAATTTCGTGACATTTCATGAAGGCTTCATTGTCAAAACCTTTGATAAAAGTGGAAAAGTTTTGATATGCACTTTCCCTTGATACCATTGCATCCATCTGTCTCTATCTACATTTCATGATAAGTGCTCTACAAAAGAAAAAAGAAAGTTATTCTTTTTGTTGTAAATAGAAAGAGGAAGAGCTGTTTCTTAAAGTCATCACTGTACATGAAGCCCATGTTTTAGCAGGTGGCTATCAAGGTTGTCATCCCTGTTGTATTAGCATAGCTCTTCAGGAAGCTTAGATATGCGTTCACTGTGAATAAAATAATAATAGATGTTTTTTTATTTACAGTGAAAATTTCAACCAGCTCCTGATCACTTTTTAATAAAAATTCTCTGAATTTTAACCATTAAAAATGTATATAATACCTAGTTCTTGGTTTATGAAATATGTTAATGTGAAAAGTAATTCACACTTATGATTAAAGTGAACATTTGCCTACTGCTGCTGTGTATATTTTTTCTTGTCTGGTATAAATTTTATACTGTGGTGCATCCCCAACCCACCCCACCTGGCCAGAAGCATGCTTTCCAGGAACATGGGGTTGAGGGACTCTGTATGCTGCAGTTTAACAATAAACACTAAGAGCTATACTGTGCTAGTGCTGATGTCATTGATTAATCACCTGGGCCAGCTTGATGACCCTGTTATCTCTGTGTGTGGTATTAACCTACCTATTGAAAATTACCTTAAAGTGTGTCCAGACTGGCTTTGCAGAAAACACTCATGATCGTTCTGGTGTCAAACCCAGGGTACATTTTCTCACCATCTTACAGACGCTGCTCATCGGACCCTGCCTAACACGCTTTATTTCCTGGGCCATAGCACACCACTCGTGTACTTTTCTCCCCGCCTACTCATTGCTTTGTGGCTTGCTAATGTTCGGTGTCTCCCACACCCACTGCTCTCACCACCCTATCATATTTTGTGAGTCCATTCTTTCCCTGGAGGCTCAGATGGTAAAGAGTCTGCCTGCAATGCCGGAGACCCGGGTTCGATCCCTGGGTTGGGAAGATCCCCTGGAGAAGGAAATGGCAACCCACTCCAGTATTCTTGCCTGGAAAATCCCATGGACATAGGAGCCTGGTAAGCTATGGTCCATGGGGTTGAAAAGAGTTGGACGCGACTGAGCGACTTCACTAAAAGTTTGGTGTCACCCACACCCACTGCTCTCACCACCCTATCATATTCCATGTGAGTTCATTCTTTTCCCCTGCTCCTTTTTTCTTTCAAAATGTGAGTAACTTCAAGTTGCTGCGGTCACCTAGGTGACAGTGCTTCCAGTCAGGCTCTTCAGCCCAGAACTTGCTCTTGATGCAGTTGTGTTGCCTGGCCCCTTGATCATACGTCATCAGTAAGTCGGTGACATCCCCTCAACCCAGGCATCTTCCCTCTGTAGTTCCTATTAGTAAACAGCATCACCATCAGGCAGCTGAGGGGCCTGGGGCACTTGCTGCCTGCACATCCCATACGGTCAGCGAGCTCTAGTCCATTTCCGGCTCTGTCTTTCCAGGTGCCGCTCTTTCTCTGACACTCCCATCACTTACTGCTTCTAAGGGGCATCCTTGCCTTGATGAGCAAGCTGCTCTGTCTTCCTTTCAACCCATTAGAGCCAGAGGCAGTTTCCTAAAACAAAATCTGAGAACACCCGTCTGCTTAAAACCCGCACACACTCCTCAACTTGTTTAGTTCACAAGCTATTTAGAATCAGGCTGGCTCCTTGTCCCCTTCGTCAGCTTTGTCCCCTGCTACCCATGTGTACCTTTGACCCTTGCCACACCACACTGGGTGCTGGCACCTGAGGCTCTGGGTTTTCAGATGATTCTATTTGCCTTTTTCCCGTTGCTAATTCCTTCTTGTGCTAGAAGACCCACACCCACCTCGGCTGTTTCAGAAAGCTTTATCTGAATGTCTGTTTCCTCCATGGACCACATTGTATGTCTCTAGGTAACTGCTGTCATTCAACTATTTCGTTTTCCTGCTTTTAAAAGCTGGTGCAGAGTAAGTGCACAAAAAAATGTTCCTCTGACGAATAAATCCTATCCAGAACCTTCACTGTGTGCTGATAACCCCGGGTTTTGCCTTTAAGGAAGAGTCTTGCACAGATAACTGACTAGATGACATTTGTATCAGTTTAGGAGCTTTTTTCTTCCCTGGTGGCTCAGAGGCAAAGCCTCTGCCTCCAGTGCGGGAGACCTAGGTTTGATCCGTGGGTCAGGAAGATCCCCTGGAGAAGGGAATGGCAACCCACTCCAGTACTCTTGCCTGGAAAATTCTGTGGGCTACAATACATGGGGTCGCCTAGCCGGACACGACTGAGCGACTTCACTTTCACTTTCTGATAACCCCACACTTTTGTGAAGGGGGAGAGAGTGAGGGGTCGCTTCATGAGCCTGTTGCATCAACTGGAATCTCTCTAACCTCAGAATGTTCTTCAATTCTTGTCCCAAACTTTAAAGACCGGAGGCAAGAGAACAGGAGCAGGAGGAAAAGAGCTGTCTCTCTCGGCTGAGGTGAAAGGTGGTTTGGGACCAGCCCAGAGCCCCAGCCTTTCAGCTCAGGAGTCACAAAAAGGGCGGAAACAGTTTCTATAGCGACGGGAGCAGGGTGTGGCCCTCCACCGGCGCTCGCGGCTACGGGTCCCAAACCGGCAGCTCCCGCAGTCTGCGCAGGCCCGATGCAGCTCCTCCCGCCTCCCTCCCACACCGGCACCAAGTAAGGGGCGGGGCGCGGCGGGGGGACACGTGGGGGCCACGGGGGCGGAAGGTGGGGCGCGCGAGAGGGACAGGATGCAGGAAAAGAGAAGGGCTGCGGGTCGGAGGAGAAAAAGGCAGGTGTGAATGCGGGGAGGAGGCAGGTACTATTTCAGATTTCGCTCCGAGTCCAGCTGCAACCTCAGAACCCAACATCCGTGTATTTAGGATTAGTTTTATTTTCAGATCATAATATCAAAGTATGGCCCCATTATCTCCTTGATGACAAAGTACTCAAATGATAGGCATGTCTCTAAGAAGCATGGATCATCATTGCTGAGTGTAGTACCTATACATAACCCTTCTCTGACATGTATTTCCTTTTTTTTTTTTTTTTAACTTTTTATTTTGTATTGGGGGATTCCCTGGTAGCTCAGCCAGTAAAGAATCTGCCTGCAATGCAGGAGACCCAAGTTTGATTCCCAGGGTTGGGAAGATCCCCTGGAGAAGGGGTAGGCTACTGACTCCAGTATTCCTGGGTTTCCCTGGTGGCTCAGTTGGTAAAGAATCCGCCTGCAGTGTGGGAGACCTGGGTATAGCCAGCTAACAAACAATGTTGTGATAGTTCCAGGTGAACAAGGAAGGGACCAGCCATACATACACATGTATCCATTCTCCCCCAAACTCCCCTCCCATCCAGGCTGCCACATAACACTGAGCAGAGTTCTCTGTGCTGTATAATAGATCCTTGTTGGTTATCAATTTTAAATTTAGCCGTGTGTACCTCTGACGTGTATTTCTTAAGCTAAAAACCTTAAATGTGCACTATTTTAATTGCTTCCTTACAGAATTCCTAACTTTTGTATAATGCTCTTTGAAAGTCTCATTAACTACTCCTAAAAGTTTTGGGTGTGAGGAGAGTAGAATTTTTATTTCCATTTTCTTGTTGAGAAAAGCCAAATGACTTGCCCAAGGCTTCCTGATTATCAACTGCTTTCTTCTGATTGGAGCTTCTCCCCTTGGCCCAGGTGTGTAGCTTTATAAATATGCACCCCCACAGCCCTAGACAATATGTTATACTTTTCCATTAAGATAATGTTGCATCACTGGCTTGGACTGAGTGCAGGATGGGGAAAGGTGGGTTTTAGAGAACTCATAAGACCTACTGGACATGCTTCCAGCCCTGACACCAACAACTTGGGGCCCAGAGCTTTCTTCTCCCATTCTTTTCTTTAAAAAAAAAAAAATTTCATTGGCGTATAGTTGCTTTACAGTGTCGCATTACTTTCTGCTGCGCTGCAAAGTGAGTCAGCCACATGTATACATATATTCCCTCTCCCCTGGATTTCCTTCCAATTTAGGTCGCCACAGAACCCTGAGTAGAGTTCCCTGTGCTACACAGTAGGTTCTCGTTGGTTACCTGTTACTACCAATGGTGTACACGTGTCCATCCCAATCTCCCAACTCATCCCACCCTTCTCTTCTCCCTGGCATCCGTGTTTGTTCTCTACATCTGCATCTCTGTTTCTGCTTTGCAGTTAGGTTCATCTGTACCATTTTCCTCAATTCCACATACATGTTACTATACAATATTTGTTTTTCTCTTTCTGACTTACTTCACTGTGTGACAGTCTCCAGGTGTGCTCACGTTTCTGCAGATGGCACCGTTTCATTCCTTTTCGTGGCTGAGTGATATTCTGCTCTCTATATATGCCACGTCTTCTTTATCTGTTCATCTGTTGGTGGACATTTAGGTTGGTTCCCTGTCTTGGCTATTGTAAATAACACTGCAGTGAATGATCATTGGGGGCATCTATCTTTTGGAATTATGGTTTTCAATAGGCAAATGCCCAGGAGTGGGATTGCTGGATCATGTGGCAGTTCTGTTTTTAGTTTTTTAAGGAACCTTCACACTGTTCTCCATAGTGGCTGCATCAATTTACATTCCCCCCAATGTAGGAGGGTTCCTTCTTCTTCACACCCTTTCCAGCCTTTATTGTTTGTAGATTTTTCCCCCTAGTTTTATTTATTTATTTTTTTACTTTACAATATTGTATTGGTTTGCCATACATTGACATGAATCTGCCATGGATGTACATGTGCTCATCCTGATCTCCCCTCCCAGCTACCTCCCCATCCCATCCCTCTGGGTCATCCCAGTGCACCAGCCCTGAGCACCCTGTATCATGCATCGATTTTTGATGATGTCCATTCTGATCAGGGTGAGGTGATATCTCATTTTAGTTTTGATTTGCATTTCTCTAATAATTAGCAGTGTTGAGCATTTTTTTGTGTGTCTCTTGGCCATCTGTATGTCTTATTTTGGAGAAAAATCTATTTAGGTCTTCCACTCATTTTTGATTGGGTGCTTTGTTTATTTGATACTGAGCTGTGTGAACTGCTCCCTTTCTTGTCTTCACTGCACATCTCATCTGATTTGGTCATAAAAAGTGGGTCCATGACCCCACTGCTCATGTCCAGGGATCTCTGGCTGATACCCACCTCTTCTGAGCAGCCCACGTGCTTGCCGTCCATTCCAAGCCACACTGACCTATTAGTGGACACCTGCCACTCAGGGGTGATTCCCAGGCTTAGCAAAGTTTTTTCTTATAAGGAGATGAACAGTGCAAAATTTGGAATTTTTTAAAGTCTGTAGTTGTGATATTGGAAATGTTCTATCAGCCAGTTCAGGGCTTAAGTAACCTGTGGCCCCTCTGACCTGTTTTGGATGACTGATGATCAACAATGTTATTAACTCAGGTTTCACTGTTCAGGCTTAAATGGAGACTTGGCAAAAGTGTGAGGCTGTTTAAACAGGAAGTCCAGACTACAAAAGAACAGTGATCTTGCTTGAGGGATTTAATTGTCTACATGTAGGTACATAAAATCTAGGCGTTCTAAGGAATTCTCCAAACATGGACTCTGCTAAATTGGTTCTGAGACTTAAGTCTGTTAGTTCCCTTCTCTGTTTTGGGCTTTATCAAAGAGAATGATGATAAATGTGAAGGGATTCTGATATGCCAGCCACTTTCCAACTGCTATTGTTGTCAGCACCTGAACTGTAATGCACACTTCTCAGTGTGTGGAGAACCAGTGCTGACCACAGACCCAACATGAATGTGTTGTAACAGCTGAAAAGAACCAGTACTGGTTTTGTCTGCTTTAATTGAAGATGAGTGACCATGTTGATACATGGCAGAAACCAGCACAATGTTGTAAAATGATTATCCCCCAATTAAAAATAAAAATGAAAAGATCAGTGACCAGGTGAGGGATGCAAAATTCTTGCTGCCTAACAGAGTATTGATTAGAAGAGAATTTTAATTCCAGCAAAGTTTAGTAATTCCAGAAAACCTCCGTTTTAAGGGAGGTCATTTTTAGTCCAGACTTTCTCCATCCTGCCTGGATGCTCTATCAAATGAGGAGGGATTTGATATAAAAGCACAGATGCATGAAGATAAGCAGGTGTTGGGGAAGCAAAAAGCCACTCTTTTGAATATTTAAGAGCTCTTGAGTAGAAGAGGGGGTGAGTGTGCTCTTTGTAGCTCTGCAGAGGAGAAAAGGTGTCAGCAGAGAAGAACAGGTGTCAGCGGAGAACAGGTGTCAGTGGAGGAGAACAGGTGTCAGTGGAGGAGAACATGCTGTTGTCAACAGAGGAGAACAGGTGTCAGCAGAGAAGAACAGGTGTCAGTGGAGGGGAACAGGTGTCAGCGGAGGGGAACAGGTGTCAGTGGAGGGGAACAGGTGTCAGCGGAGGAGAACAGGTGTCAGCGGAGGGGAACAGGTGTCAGCGGAGGAGAACAGGTGTCAGCGGAGGGGAACAGGTGTCAGCAGAGGGGAACAGGTATCTGCCGAGGAGAACAGGTGTCAGCAGAGAAGAACAGGTGTCAGTGGAGGGGAACAGGTATCAGTGAAGGAGAACAGGTGTCAGTGGAGAATATGTGTCAGTGGAGGAGAAAAGGTGTCAGCAGAGAACAGGTGTTGAAGAAGAACAGGTGTCAGTGGAGGAGAATAGATATCAGCCAAGGGGAACAGGTGTCAGCGGAGGAGAACAGGTGTCAGCGGAGGAGAACAGGTGTCAGCAGAGAACAGGTGTCAGCAGAGGGGAAAAGGTGTCAGTAGAGAACAGGTGTCAGTGGAGGAGAACTGTGTCAGCAGAGAATAGGTGTCAGTGGAGCAGAACAGGTGTCAGCAGAGAACAGGTATCTGCAGAGGAGGTGTCAGCGGAGGATGCTGTTCAAGAACATTTTCTCCAACCGACATTGATGTAGGTCCAACCATGTGAAGGTTAACAGCTGGATGTGAAATGGGTTGCCTGGGAAAACAGTGAGTTCTGTCTCAGAAATATTCAAGAAGAGATGAGCAGTTACTTGGAATCCTCTTGAGAAGGTTATTCACACCAGCGGTGGGATGAGGTGGGGAGATAGCTTCTAAAAATTCTTCCAGCTCTTAAGCATCTGTAAATCTGTGAACCGTGGAAAGTATCAGGGAGAACTGCATAGAGTCTGAGGAGTTCTCTTTGGCAAAAGAAGTGTGTTAAATACACCATCTCCTGTTTATAGAACTGTAAGGGGAGTGCCTACAAGTTGTATCTTGCCACAATCTCTGCCCTGAATGTGGTCCCCGGGCATAAAGATCTACTGCAGTAGAAATCCTGAAATTACAACAGTTGAATCTCAAAAGACACATTTCCTTTCTGGGCTCTGAAGTTCGGTCTAGATGGATAATGGCTTCCCTGGTGGCTCAGTGCTAAACAACCTGCCTGCTGATGCAGGAGACAAGGGTTTGATCCCCGGATCAGGAAGATCCCCTGGAGAAGGGAACGGCAACCCACTCTAGTATTCTTGTCTGGGAAATTCCATGGACAAGG